ATTTTTGCACTTGGTGGATTGAACTCTCAGTAGCCAATTGCTGGACCATGTCTGCAGCGTGTCCAGATCCCTTTTGAAGTTTCTGCCTGGTCTTCGATGCGAGTGAATTCTTTCTCATCCACATCACTCATCTGCAAACAGGGACACACAGAGTCTATTCCTTCCGTCATGGGGGGGGGGGGGGGGGGGGGGCTGCAACAATACCATAAACGCACTGTCCTGGACTGACCACCCTGGGGGGGCCCCGGGACCCCGCTGTACACAGTTGCCCACTATCTGACAACCGTCGCCACGTACCATGACTCTCTGCTGTCCTTCCCTGACAAGTATTCCCATGATCCATTGTAGTGCCCTTCCCAGTTATCCCTGGCTAGTTCCCTCCAGTTTTTGCCCAATCTCCTGTGTGAACTGTGTCAAACGCCTTCTCTGCAGTCCCGAAGAAAATGCAATCCACCCACCCCCTCTCTCTCTTGTCTACCTGCTGTCAAGTCACCATGTCATGAACTCCAGTAGCGTTTGTGACACAGGATTTCCCGTCCCTGAAACCATGTTTGGCTGCTGATGATGAGATCGTTCCTTTCTAGGTGTTCCACCACTCTTTCTCACTGATAATCCTTCTCCATGATTTTGCATACTATACATTGTCAGTGACACTGGTATGTTAGTTTAATGCTCATGTCTGTCCACTTTTAAAGATTGGGAATACATGTTGCTGTCTTCCATGCCTCACAGGCAATCCTCCCTGTTTCGATGGATTGTATTGAATATTGGTTGTTAGGGAGTACACATAGCGCCTCTGCTCCCTCTCTCAATACCCATGGGGAGATGTTATCTGCCCTATTGCCTTTTGAGGTATCTAGCTCACTCAGAAGACCTCTTCACGTTCTTCTTCCCTCGGTTGTGTGCACTGTGTCCAGCACTTGAGGTTGTGCCCCACCTCTCCTGTCTTTCTGGATCCCATCTGGTCTCCTCTGTGAACACTTCTCATTCTTTGAAATCTCTGTTGAGTATCTTCACATACTTCACGTCATTTCTTGTTGTCTCTCCTCCTTCCTTCCTTAGCCTGATTTACCTGGTCCTTGACTGTTGTTTTCCTTCCTGATTGGTCTGTACAACATTTTCGGACATATTTGTTGGCTTGTTCGCTGTGTGTCATTTTCATATTGTCGTTTGGGGCCTCCCTTGCTTATTTTAGCATATTGTCGTTTCTGTGGCACTAACGACGTGTCCTTCCTTATTCTCCTGGGTTCCTTTGCCTTCTATATTTCTTCCCATTACCCTACACACTTGTTTTTTTGCCTCCCTGCAACCTTTGGGTAAACCATGGGCTCATCCTGGCTTGTTCATTATTCCTGTTACCCTTGGTACTAACCTCTCCTCAGCCTCCTTGCATTTGTTGCTACATATTCCATCATCTCATTAACTGGCTTCCCTGCCAGTTCTCTGTCCCACTGAACCCCGTTCAGGTATTCCTCATTCCAGGTAGTCCCCTTTCTTGTATTTTGGCTTCATTCGTCCCTGCCTTCCTGCTTCGACTCCCTCCACTGTAGGCACTACTGTGTATTCGAAGCTTAAACCACATGGTCCACTGGCCCCAAGGGGTCTTCATATGTGATGTCCTCGGATATCTGCACTACTATACTAACTCAAGAGAATACTAAGTCCAGCCTGCTGGTTTATCCTCTCCTCTCTCTCTTGTAGTGTCCCTTACGTGTTTGCACATGGAAGTTTTTCCAGTTACCACCTCCATCATCTAGCCCTCCATGTATCTTGGCCCCCATGTGGTCCAAGTTCTCCCAATCGATCTCCTTTGGTTAAAGTTCACTATGATCAGAGCTTTGCCCTCATGCATAGCTCTTCTGGCCACTTCTAGCCAGTGTGTCCAACGTGTGTGTGCGTTGACGACTGTACATGCATGTGCCGTGTGTGTGCGAGTGCGGCGCATGTGTGTGCGCATGTGTGCGCGTGACGTTCGTCTCCCTGCCGAATAAGTAAAACTTGCGATTTTTGCTTTTTTAATTTTCTTTTTGGGGGGGGGGGGGGGGGGGGGGGGGTTTTTAAATAGCAATGTCGTCTTGCCGAATATGGCAAGCGAAAATTTGTGTATGCAATAATTTCGCAAAAATCATTCTGAACCTAACGAAAAAATATATTTCATTGTGTTTGTTCATTATTAAATTTGTGTAAACTTGTCTCAAAATATATTTAGTTGGATTAGGCTAAATTAAATTGCGCTTGTTATAATAAGGTTAGGAACTTTTCTAAGGTTCTTTTGGAACAAAATTATTAATTTTTACAGTAACATAAGTGAAAAAAGTATATCTTTAAATTGACCAATTTTACCTATTCGGCACGACATATGTATAGATGTGCCACTTAACCAAACACGCACACATGCGCACACACAACTCACACACACAAGCCACACACCGCACACACACGCGCGAGCAGCGACGACACACACACCATGCATGCTCCAATATATACACCTTATGCCAATCCAATGTACATACAAATAGACACTGAAAAAATTTTCATCACAATCATATATACATACACCAATGTATAATAAACGTATACTGATGTAGCACCTAATTACTGTTGTAAAGTACTGACTAATGTTAATACAAACTCTGGAAATATTATAAAATATCAAGTCTTAAAAATGTTATTAAATGAAATAGTGTTTTGCTGTATAACCTTTGCTTAGGCGCTTTCTTTTGATTAAAATACTATATTAATAGTGTGTCCGTCACCAAGAGTATCCACACTTTAAACTCCGCATTGTCAACTGCACTCTCAGGCAACACTATTTTGAATATTAACATGCATGGGGAAGCCCCTCCAAGGAGGTGCCTTATGCCATTAAGGGGTTCTTGATCCAAGAAACTGGGTCTATACTACCATTCCTTGGATTGAACCTTATTGCCTCCCAGTCCCCATGTACTTGTCTAAAAAATGTAATAATATTGCTTGAAAATAAAATATATCATTTATGCTGGCTGACCACTTGACCTGAGAGGATACCTACCTGTTTTTAATTAGAAATGCTGATCCAAAATAATTTGAATACTATACCATATATATTATGTTAAAAACAAGCACCAGACCTGTATGGGTCATACAGCGCAGAGGTGGTCAAAGTAGTACGAATAGGGATTAGTGGTGTAAAATTATGGTGCAGTAGATTTATAGCCATGGTAAATCAGCAGTAGAAGGAAGGGGTGGTTAGAGATTGGAGTGGTTTTTATAATTGCTGCGAAGGGATAGAGGCACAGCAGTAATGAGGAATTTTGTGTGGTGGGGTATTACACTTCATGAAGTTTGTTAATTGCTAGTGTAGGTGGTAAAACATTAACAGTATGAGAGGAGGCATCATGAAAGGCTAGATGCTGTTGTTTTCAGTTTAGGTGAAGGAACCTTCCCCAATGAGTCTTGGAAGTGCTATAGAGGTCCATATCTTGCCTCTGTTAGAATATGGCTGCTTTGGGTTACAACAGTCTGGTGCACGATCCCAGAGGGAGTGTAATGTAAGATGGTACTTGCAAGGTTAGAGTTTAGACAGATACATCACACCTGTCTAAGGAATGAGTGGATTGAGGAAGTTCCACTTGGCTGATGTAGGAATCCTGTAAAGGTAGGACTGACTTGTGCATAGAGGTAACAGTTTAGAAGGGTACTATAAAGGTACAGTTTCCAAATTCAAAGGTAGCTAAGGGTCGTACATTGTGGACAGTGAAGTGACACAGTGAATGAGGTGGAACTTAAGACTGATTAAGGGTTTTGGATACTGGAGTGAGAGCATATGATGCAACTATGTTAGATCCAAATCAATATACCCAGTAGGTGAAAGTTTTCATAATTGTCGGTTATAGAGGACATAAACCTTTCTCTTCCACTTTCACTTTCTCCTGAAGAAAAACTGGTTACCTAGTGAGAAACATAACGGATGTGCTTTGTAATGTTACTGCAGGAAGGTGAATTGTCACAATTTATTTCTGATCTCTAAAATGGAACAGTTTGGCCTATGACTTGCAATATTTGAGTTTCCGTAACCACCATTTGTGGCACTGTGTGTTGATTCAAATTCCCGTCACTGCCAAGCCATTGATCTGTGTTGCTGAGTAAAGTGTATGGCCATCAAACATCAGCCTGGTATGTTGCTTATTCCACAAGCAGGCAGACAAGTGTAGATTAGTCATTGGGTATTGCACTTCTTCTTCTTTTTTCTTTGTCCAAAACCGTCTGCCAAATCTTGTGCTAGCATCCATGAAGGTACAGTTTCCTCGCATGAAGCCGGGGTGGAGTGTTGAGGACAGTCTGGTTTATGGAACGGATGATGTGCATCCCACTTTGTTGGTTGAGAAGTACAGTAAATTCTCCTTAGCCCAACAGGGCAGTTCTTAACACGTGATCATCAGGCAGTCATCATGATTCTATGGTTTAACCGAGATAATCATGTCACTGGTGTTTGGAATTTAATCATAACTAACCACTAAACTCACAAGGATCATACAGTGCTCTGGTGTTTGTTTGGAAATTTTCCATTGGAGAAGTTTCCAGGTTCTTTTTCTTAAGTGTGTGATAAGGGCATGTGAATTTCAGAGTAACTGTTAGTCTGTCATCTCTTGAAATCCCTACGGGTTTAGTGCTTCCTGTGATAAAATGTCGTCTAAACCCTTGTAGGTTTATTTAATAATGGGGAAGTGCTAAACCCATAGGATTATACAGCACCTGTGGAGGGGGGGACAGGGGGGATGGCAGGTATTCAGGCTCAATTCAGGAACTGGAGTACAGTTCCAGTTCCCTAGACTGAGCACCTCACCAGCATCAAGGGGACCTTGTGGGTTTAGCATTTAGTTTTGATTTAATCTTTGAGCAAGAATATTCATGGAAAAGTCCTAAACCCACAAGGGTCATTCAGTACTATATATGTAACATTTAAAAATGCAAAAAGACTGCTGTGCCCAGGAATAGTAAAACAGCTTTGTATATTTAAATGATTTTTTTTTAATTTTTATTTCTTTTCTAACCTTATAATTGACTTAGGTTACAGCAGTAAGCTATGGAACAGGAAAGGTGATCATAGCAAATATTCTACACTCGACTTGGCATGATTCCAATGAGAAAACACAATGACCCAAAAATGTAACAAAATGCTATCCCTAAACCTTACAATACATGAGCGTTTATATATTACAATGAAGAAATAATGTAATGCATTTAACGACACACAAACACACAAAAAACTGGGATTTATATTGGTGTAAAGTAATTGAATTGAAACACTTTTTGTACTTTTTGTGGGCCAATCAAAACAATAGACATCGTATATTAAATGCAACCATATATTAAAATTAGCCAACAGAAGTGACAAGAAGCTACACCATTTTACTTAGTTAAAACTGACTGAAAAAACATCATGCACATTATAAACATTGCAATTACATTAGTTTTAAACAAATTAATTTGAATTATCTTTATGGAAAACTAATTAAAAAAAAAAAATTCTTAGTGCATTTCAAGTAATTTTCACACATTAGCTTGTGAAATATTAAATAAGTTGTGGCACCGTTTGGAGAATATCACATTACCACACTGATGTAGTATATACACCTGGCACATCCCCTAAAATGGTGCATCCTCGTCTCACATAAGCCCTCGTCCCCTTTCCCCCCCCACCCTGCCAAAAGCATTTCTTAACTGTAGATTGCATAGCAACCTCATTGCTACCTGACAGATAATTACCAAACAACTATGTACAACTGGAAGGAAAACTTATTTTGGCCACTTCCACACAAGAGACCACTGCCAAAATAACAAGTATGGTATGAGAAGCATTATGTATCATGAAGAACCACTGCAGACAAAGCCAAATGAAATATATTAGAAAATTCGCCAAATAGACACGTGTCTACAAATATTAGAAAAATAAACCTAGGAAGTAATTAACCTCTCCGAACATGATGGAAAACATTCCCTACCTTACAAATGTTACTAGTGGTAATATCTGTTGAAAAGTGAGCACCTACCTTCATTACATCTTGTTACATTATCTCAAATCTAGTTAAATACACTATTGCATTACTCTTGGACAATGCATTAGTACGTGGGAGATACAAAGCTATGTAGCCAAACCCACGGTGTTTTGGACAGGATCAGGAATTGTGTTCCTCTTAAGTACTTCAATAAGGCTTATTTTTTATTATAAAGTGAACAGGAAACTGAGCTTTGCTGAGGTACTAATTACAACACAAACTGCTGATCAAGTCAAATTATCCAACTTCCCAGCAAAGAAACTGCCCATATAACAGTCAAATTCATCATCTTAAAATATCTTCAAGATGCCATTTTAACTATTTTAAGGGAACATGAAGGCATTAAATAGCTGAATATATAGTGGTGCCAGCTGAAATTTTCTATATCCCTGCTGTGAATATGTGATCAACCACAGAAGAATGTTTACCACTAATACTGAAAGTCAAGGGTACTTCTTGCCTAGTTTACCTAATCAACTTTCAGCTTTATACAGCATTCTTCAGATTCCTACATAGTACTTTCTCTAAAACTCCTATTTTGCTGGACTGTTACCTGATGTATTGTTGAGCTGCACATCTGGTAGTGAATAGCAGCAACTATTAATAAGAATGTGTGTATTTTATATATATACATATATATATACATATATAAATATATATACATACACATTACCAAAGAACTCTGATGCATAACTTAGCCAGTTAATTTGTCTTAAATATCTGGGGGCAATAATCAATACTGATTAATGAGTAAACAATCCAATATTTACAAATATATATATATCTCTATATATACTTCATCTTTTCTTAGTCTAACATGTTAACACTTCCCTCTTTGAAAGAGAAAAATTAACAGTCTTTACTATTAAGTTTGATAAGACTGAGCAGAACCTCAAGTACACAACAGAATCATTCAACATTTAGGAAAACAGTTGGCATCATTAAATGGGGATTATAGTTTAAGGAAATTTTTCACTTGAGCCATTAAAAAAATAAACATTTACTTAAAGTTTGTGAAATATTATGGTAAAGGTAAAGCCAATAAACTAGTCAAACAGCTAACAAATATCAACCCTTCTCACACAATCATATTATCAAGTTCCTATCATACAATATCTCACTTTTTTGTCATAATGAGCCTTAACATATATGCACTTTACACACACTCCTTTACACTGGAACCTGAGGCAGCTCATCATCTCTAAATAATAATAATAAAAAAAAATTTATCCATCAAATCCTAACTAGATGTTGTTGGTGATTGGGGAACAGGAACTGGAGCCGTTTTGGGAATTATTTTTGGGACAACAGCAGTCCCTGCTGACTTTGTCATATCTGAGAGAGATTTTGATATACTGTCTGATTTAACTGTTTCAGACTTTATGTTATGATTTACCTTGCTGATTTTAGATATTACTGGTTTGGAGAATTGTGATTTTGCTGCAATCTCCAGTTTTTTAGGTTCTGACTTGGTCTTTGTTTGACTGGTGCCTTTACTGTTTTCTAAGGTTTCTTGTTTCTGAGCTTCTGATCTAGTCTTTGCTTGGCTGGAACCTTTGTTGTTTTCTGTGGTCTTTTGTTGGGATTGTGCTTGTTGGGTCTTTGCTGTAGATGTAGCTGGGATCACCTTGTACTGTACAGGTCTTGGTTTCCTGTAATTTCCAATACTGTCTGCTCGTAGCCACTGCATCTGTCCACTTGAGTGCCTGCTCCTTGATCCACTGCTCTGTAAATAATAGAAAAATTGAATTACACAAAAGCATAGCAACATAATAAGGGAGGCAATAAAACTAAGAAAAAATAGGAGAGGAAAGTGATAAAGAATAAAAAGTACTGGGTACATATGAGGCTCTTCCTGGAAAAAAACTCAGCAAGCAATGATTTCAAAATGGGAAAAAGTTCAAAGCTTCCAATTCATAATTCATGAATGAATGAAGATATTTTGATCATTCAAATATTTTTTAAGAAATTTCACTGATAATTTTGTGCATAAGCTTAACCACTCTGGCATTAGCACGTACAGTGTTGCAAAGTCAGAGTTTGTAAACTATGAAAACTTTGAGGACTTTTCTGTACTATTACAATGTATTAAAATGTATACATGTATAGCTTTTATGGGTTCCAACATTTATTCCCCTCAAGGAAGGTTCCTTGATGTTGGTGAGGGGCTCTTGATTTAGGGAATTGGATCTGTGCTCCAGTTCCCCGAATTAAGCCTGAATGCCTTCCACATCCCCCCCCCCAGGCGCTGTATAATCCTCCGGGTTTAGCGCTTCCCCCTTGATTATAATAATAATAATCCAACATTTATTGATGCTATAAACCACTTGTAGCAAACCTACAATTGGGTTATAGAATTAATATATGCTGGAACTTGTTAAAGATGTTAATAATTTTTTATCCATTTTAATACTGAAAGTACAGTGGACATTTATAATTCATGGGGTTACATTCCTAAAAACTCCACTACCAATGATTTCCATAACTTATGGAGTGAAAAATGTGGGCAAAATAGGGCAGTCTTCCTCCGTCATAGCTGTAATGACTTATTTCTCTTTCATTTCTCTATTTCATTCTTTTCACTGTCACAGTAGGGATTATTTGTTACAAAGCCTTAAATTTGAGACAATGAGGTGATAAACAAATCACTGATTCTCCATGATGCATGCAGCACCCTTCAGCATCTCTATTACCTTCAGTTTTTTAAACAGCCATAGTTTCAAGCTTAATTTTCTTTTCTGCTTTATCAGCATCACCTGCACTTCATTTGGATGCCATGATAAAACATCCAGAGATGCGATAAGAACATAAGAAAGAAGGAACACTGCAACAGGCCTACTGACCAATGCAAAGCAGGTCCATGCCATCCCCCGGCCTAGAACAATGACCACCTAGTCAGGTCACTTCCACTTAAGGAAGGAGCACAGTGCCAGATCTAGTAGCCCAAGCTAGTCAGGTTCAACTCTCACCCACGAAGAGAAAAAGAACGAGTGATATGCACCTAGGGAAAAATGCATGGTACACATCCAGATACACTGATCCGTTTGGTAGACTGTTTGTTTGCATCTCCTCATCCTCCCTCACACCCTTCCCTGCAATGCTGGAACAATGGAACTGCCCAATTCGTAACGGGGTGTCTCCTGCCTGTCTGCTGCAGGACTCTTTAACGAAAATGCGTGCCACCAGTGGAAATGAGTTCTGATCCAGTGTGCCTAAATAGAAATGTCATGCTTCTACTGGAAATTAAACTAAATTTAAATTGCAGAATATTAAAAAATGAGAGCTATGATCATGCAATTCACAGATGTCTACTGTACTTAAAATTTTCATAATACACATACAATGCCTATGCAGTACCTTATTTGCACTCATGAGCACCCACTTAAGTATACATACATGAAACACACACACAAAATACAGTACTAAAGAAATTTCCTACAAAAAATTGAACAAACAGAATATCTTTATTAGTTCATGGGTTATGAGTTGTAAAGTTCAATGAATATTTCCTGCGAGTGCCTCAAATGTAAAAGGACTGACAATATGGAAAAAGAGAATAAAAACTGAAATTTTAAAAGATGAATTTGGTAACTGATTATGTGAAGCACGAATAATTATAATAATTGGGAGAACATAAACCCCATTAAGGATCATAAAGTGCATGGGTAATAAGAGGTAATCAAGTTTAAGCCACTGGAGAAGTCCCTCTCCCTGAACCAAGAGTGCCTCACAGGCATTAAGGTACCTCCAAAAAAGGAAAACAACAGAAGAGCCATCAAAATTATTGGACCAGACTAGGTGTGTGTATATACATGTTTTTTTTAACACTTTGGCCATTTTCCACTATTTTGTTTAATGCTAGTGGTACTTGCCTATATGTGCAGGGATTGAGTCTTAGCTCCTGGCCATGTTTCTCAACTTGCTGATTGCCAGATTCTCTCCCTCCTAGCCTTGTGGGCCCTATTGTACCTGCTATTTCAACTATCTATGGAGTATACATTCCACCACTATTTCACCAAGATCATTCCACTTTCTGACCACACGAGACTGAAGTAATACTTCCCGAGATCCTTGTGGCTCGTCTGTGTCTTAAACTTCCAGCTGTGTCCCGAGTTCCTATTTCTCGCCTCTCAGCCTGTCCTTGTCTACCTTGAGTATTTTGTATGGTGTTATCATGTCTCCCCTGGTTCTTCTGTCCTCCAATGTTGTTAGATTAATTTTCATTAGTCTCTCCTTATTACTCATGCTCCTTGATTCAGAAACAAGCCTTGTTGTAAACTTCTGCCCTTTCTCCAGTTGAACCTGCTCCCTCAGGTGTGGGTTCCATACTGATGCTGCAATCTCCAAGATGGACCTGACATATGTTGTATGAAGTCCTGAAATGACTATTTATTAACCCTTTCAGGGTCCGTCCCGTAGATCTACGGCTTCACATTGAGTGTCCAAACCGTATATCTACGCCAAAATTCTAGCGCCGTCAAATTTAGCACGAAAGCGCTCATAGGCCTACATGTGAGAGAAAGGGTCTGCGTGGTGGGTGCGCCATAAACAAAAAATCTAGGTGCCCCCGCATTAGCATTGTGGAACGCCGGCTTCAGTTACCCTGTTCACCCATGCCTCGTCGCAAGCCAGCTCTCACTCCCCGGAAAATTGGGACTCTCCTCTTCCTATCTGATAGTTCTGACACTGATGAAAGTGGAAATGAAGACGAATTCTATGGCTTTGATCAGTTAGTGACCGAAAGGAATGACCAGGATATCGATAATAGTGCAGAAAACCATGACGATCCTCAACACTTTCTACCTCTGGTGGTGGGCCACTTTCCGTGAACTCCACGGTCGGTTGTCCTCAACGCAAGATAAAATTAATATTTTCGCGTGGCCAGGCCTCTGACTTCAGTCAGGGAAAGTAATAAGTATTTTGAGTACACCATGGCAAATACGATCATATCACCACAGTCAAGACTACACAGGTGGAAAGAGACGACTGTTGCAGAAATGTATTTGCTTTTTGCAACAATAATGCTTATGCCTCATGTCATAAGCATAATATTAAAGCCAATACTGGTCCCACCAAATCAGCTAATTTCTACCCCGGTCTTCAGTGAAATCATCCCAGTGAACAGGTTTAACTTACTCTTCTACGTATGTTGCACTTCTCTGACAAAACCAGCCTGGAAAGAAGTGAAAGGTTTATACAAGATTAGAAATGTTTTTCCATTAATCTCAAACTAAAGGTTCAGCAATATACTTTTTTAAATCCATTTCAAGAATGTTGTAATTAAAACAGTCTTTGATTTTTGTTAAAGTAAGACTGTCATTCAACAGTATATACCAGCAAGAGAAAACGCTTTTGGAATAAAACTGTTTTGTACTCTGTGACTGTGACAGTGCCTGAAGTTGGATATTGTTGTATACACAGAAGTAAAACATTGAAAGATACCAAGATGTTATGGGTATCTCAGTGACGTAGTGAGAAACATGAGGCACCTTATTCTTTCGGTAAGGGGCATACATTATATACCGAATAACTGGTACACAAGCCCATTACTCAGTGATTTCATGCGAGTGAACAAGACGATGTGTTGGCAACAGTGCGTTTCTAATCGTAACACATATGCCCAGGCTCAACGTTGCTTCGTGGTGATGAACGTGGCAGTGTTTACTGCCAAGACATCATGGCATTACTGTGGCATGACAAGCGAGATGTCACATTGTTGACAACAATTCACCGTAATGAAAATGCAAGACAGTGGCAAAGTTAGATTCGCGTTGACTAATGAACGTATCGAAAACCATGACAGTGATTGATTAATAAAAAAAAAAAACACAAAACATGCGCTTTGGTTGACAAATGTAAACATGCATTGGTTTTTGTTGACTGTGTTGTAAGAGTTACAAGTGGTACATGAAACTTTTCTTCCATTCAATGGACTTTCAATGCTCAATGCATTATTAATATGTTACCAAATTAAGACTGCACAGACACTGTAATGGTGAATTTTGTTTGTCTGTTGTCAGACAACTCATATTGAAGACCAGGTAAGAACACCTGCTATACAACAAGTCCTCGAATTTTACTCAGAGATATACCCAACTTTGAGGAGGGAAGGTGATCATTTCATAATACAGCTTCCTTCAACTCAAAAGAAATTGCTCAGAAGAATCATCGTCTGTGCACAAACCAAAACGACTGGCAACAAAGACGCAAAGACACTCCGGTTTTTATGTGTGGAGGGAAGTAAGGTGCCCTCTGTGCATAGGGTGCCCTTGGTTTTCAAGGAGTTCCACAAGCGCCACAGTTATAAAACCATGTCCAGTGGATTGTAAATACAGTGGACCCTCCCGCATATAACGATTTTATCCTCCGAATGCGACCAATTATGTAAGTGCATTTTGTTTACGTGTATGTTGGGGTCCAGAGAATGGACTAATCTACCTTCACAATGTTTCTTATGGAACAAATTCGGTCAGTACTGGCACCTGAACATACTTCTGGAGTGAAAAAATATTGTTAACCGGGGGTCCACAGTATATGATAGAACATTAGTATTATACAAGATTACAATAAACATGCACAAAACAACAGTGGTAAACAATAATATGATAATAACTTTAGTGCAGTTATTGTGTTCAATACAGTGAGTTACATATACAGTATTGGTCTCTCAGGCCCCCAAATGTTAGTAGGAAAAGAAAAGAAAAAACTATAAAAACCGCTAAATAATGTAATGGCGTATGTGGAATTTGTCGATGTTGCCGCCACCACATCATTTTGGACAAACTTCTTGGCACTGTATCTCGGTAAGTACTGATCAGAATTTTTTTTTTTTGGTCTTATTACCTTCACAAAAATATGCTCTTTACTTCTGTAAGAAAAAAATAATTTTTTTTTTTTGTTTTTTTTTTTTCAAAATTTCTTGGACACTGGAGCACCACTTCAGATTTTGGCCTTGGACCCTGAAGGGGTTAAGATTCCCAAAGGCCACACTGAAATTTGCCTGATGAGGCATTGCCTGCTGCTCTATTATCCTCCAAACACACCACAAACTCCCACATACCCAAAACAAAGATTTCTGGCCCTTCTGTAATGACGAAAACGCCTCTATGCGACAAACAATGCCCAGGCAGCTAGCCCTCAATCCTAGGTCCATTCCATCAGCCCCCATTCCTATCTCACCCCCCCACCAACAAATGGGGGGGGGGGGGGGTTTGATAATGTCTACAGCCTCTGTCCCCAAAGACTATATACAGTAGACCGTCATTTAGCATGAGTTTATTTGGCACGATTTGAGTACTGCACGACTGAAGAATTGCAGCACAATTTGATGCAACACATTGTATAATTAATTTAACACGGTTCATTTTGTGGAAGGAAAAAAAATGTCCTTTTGCTCAAGCGGCCAGCTTCTTGTGGAGCAGCTGGGGAGCCCTCCTGCCATCCCCTACCACTCACCGACACCACCCCACCATCCCAGAGTTCGTAATTCATACATGTCCAGTCCAGTCTTTCTCTGCTACAAGGCAGCTGTGTTTGTGAATTGTGTTATATTTTAATTACTATATCTTGTATCTGCCAAAGCAATCATGACACCCAGTAGCCATACCAGTGTTGCTGAAAGTGGCATGAAGAGGTATAACATTTAAGTCTTAGAATTAACAAAGAAACAAACATATTAGACAAGAAATAACCTGTAGCCATAATGAAGTGTTACTTTGTACACAGATAAAGGGGTAAATATGATTGTGTGTGACTGACTTACTGAGTGACTTGACTAACCTACTGAACGACTTGACTGACTTACTGAATGACTTATTAAAGTTAGACACTCCAGTACAACCATCAACTTCAGTACCAGAACCTCTACCATCCACCTCAGCCCAGTAGGGCCACAACATAACTCTACACCCTCCTCACAATCATCCACAAACACCAGCACCCACAATTTAAGGTAAGAAATATTATTATTTCTGTTATATTTGTAGTCTTAAGCAGTAAAACCAACATAATACATCACAACAATTAACTAAAACTACATATTCACTTTTTTGAAGGAGGTGGAGGCCTAAAAAAAAGCTTGGCTTTTTGGGGGCTCCCAGGAATGTAACCCTATTTTTCTCGTAAGTTGTTCTACAGTTCATCTAACACGATTTTACCCAACACGGCATTTTCAGGAACGTAACTATCGTGCTAAATGACGGTCTACTGTATACTCCATATCTGGTCTTCTGTCCCCTTTCCAGTGTTGTGGTCAGCATGCTTGCCCCTCACCTGCTGGGTTAGCAGATGAAGCCAACATGATTTCTCCCACTTCACAGTGATTAAGATAGAGCAAGGTGGGTAATGACTGAGAAATCTGCACCTTCCAACTGACTTCACTATGTATATGGGACACTGCATGATTCAACCTAATTTACCACTGACCTTTGCTTGGAGATATTCTCCAGAGCTATTCCGTACTCTGGTATGATAGTGCGGATGATAATCTATTTGGCTTGGGGCACCATCACCTTCTGAGGCACGACGCTGACGTCGCTTAGCCCCTTCGCTGCTGTAACTATACTTGCGGTAACCCTCATTTCCGACTACCATAGTGCCCTCATTCTCCGATCTGGTGCGTATCCGAGCTTTTCTGGCTTCTCGAGCTGCATCATATTCTTCGGGCTGTAACAAGAGAAAATGCATTTTTAACTTCAATGTTGTTGCTGACTCATTCATAAATAAACTAAAAGTTTGACATGTATCAAAATTTAACATTAAAAATACCTTCTGTTCATTTTTGGTCACATTCTATTGCTATATTTACATTAACTAGATATGAAGTTTTTGGAAGATGTGTTAGCCTAGAGATATGCATTATCTCTGGCACTGCATGTTGGTGTGTGTGTTTTAATGTATGTTCAGCAAGGAGAGTTATAACAAAAATTCAAACTGCATGAGAAGACTGCCAAATACTAAATGATACCTAAAAACAGAATGACCACATTATGCACATTCCAAATATGTCACATAACTGAAAGAATGAGTGCATACCATTTCCACTCTGAAATCTTCGATACTTTTATACTTTGCAAGCCGCTCTTTAAGCTTATCTTGCACTGCAAGATTTCCACTATTTTTATAATACTTCATAAATGCCCAGAATTTTTCCAATCCATACAGCTGACCATAATCAACATCTCGTAATGTCTCCTCTTGGAAGTCGCTGTATATTTCATCCCGGAAATGCTTCTCCAGTCCATAACTGTAGAATCTGAAGAGGCACTCCAAGCCATACCTGAAAATAAGATGTTTTAAATTATATAAAACTCTTGATGTGTAACTTTTGTGATTGTTTTTAAAATATAACACCAAGTGTGCTTCCCTTAACTTCAAAGAAAGACATGATACAGCAGGTATTTGTGCCTGGGGATTTTACTACAGCAAATCACCTAAAACCAATAATGACTCAACTAAAAAGGGCTGTATAAACAATTGCCCAATCTAGTGCCAGATAATACTCCCTCACCCAAAGTTTAAATTTGCTCAATATACATAATATTGTAGGTAGTAGGTTGGTAGACAGCAACCACCCAGGGAGGTACTACCGTCCTGTCAAGTGAGCGTAAAACGAAAGCCTGTAATTGTTTTACATGATGGTAGGATTGCTGATGTCTTTTGTCTGTCTCATAAATATGCAAGATTACAGGTATATCTTGCTACTTCTACTTACACTTAGGTCACACTACACATACATGTACACATTTATTTATACACACTCATCTGAGTTTTCTTTGATTTTAACTTAATAGTTCTTGGTCTTATTACTTTTCCTTTTATATCCATGGGGAAGTGGAATAAGAATCTTTCCTCCGTAAGCCATGCGTGTTGTAAAAGTCAACTAAAATGCCGGGAACAATGGGCTAGTAACCCCTTTTCCTGTAAAGATTACTAAAATGAATAAGAAGAAAATTGTCAAAGTGGGAAGTCTGAATGTGCGTGGATGTTGTGCAAATGATAAGAAAGAGATGATTGTGGATGTTATGAATGAGAAGAAGCTGGATGTCCTGGCTTTAAGTGAAACAAAGCTGAAGGGGGTGGGAGAGTTTCAATGGAGAGGAATAAATGAGATTAGGTCAGGGGTTTCAAATAGAGTTAGAGCTAAAGGAGGAGTAGCAATAATGTTGAAGGATAAGCTATGGCAGGAAAAGAGGGACTATAAATGTATTAATTCAAGGATTATGTGGATTAAAATAAAGATTGGATGTGAAAAGTGGGTTATAATAAGCGTGTATGCACCTGGAGAAAAGAGTAATAAGCGTGTATGCACCTGGAGAAAAGAGAAGTGTAGAGGAGAGAGAGAGATTTTGGGAAATGTTGAGTGAATGCATGGGGAGTTTTGAATCAAGTGTGAGAGTAATGGTGGTTGGAGATTTCAATGCTAAAGTGGGTAAAAATGTTATGGAGGGAGTAGTAGGTAAATTTGGGGTGCCAGGGGTAAATGTAAATGGGAGCCTTTAATTGAGCTATGTGTAGAAAGAGATTTGGTAATAAGTAATACATATTTTATGAAAAAGAGGATAAATAAATATACAAGGTATGATGTAGCAGGTAATGAAAGTAGTTTATTAGATTATATATTGGTGGATAAAAGGTTGATGGGTAGGCTCCAGGATGTACATGTTTATAGAGGGGCAACTGATATATCGGATCATTATTTAGTTGTAGCTACAGTTAGAGTAAGAGGTAGATGGGAAAAGAGGAAGGTGGCAACAACAAGTAAGAGGGAGGTAAAAGTGTATAAACTAAGGGAGGAGGAAGTTCGGATGAGATATAAGCGACTATTGGCAGAAAGGTGGGCTAGTGCAAAGATGAGTAGTGGGGGGGTTGAAGAGGGTTGGAATAGTTTTAAAAATGCAGTATTAGAATGTGGGGCAGAAGTTTGTGGTTATAGGAGGGTGGGGGCAGGAGGAAAGAGAAGTGATTGGTGGAATGATGAAGTAAAGGGTGTGATAAAGAGAAAAAGGTAGCTTATGAGAGGTTTTTACAAAGCAGAAGTGTTATAAGAAGAGCAGAGTATATGGAGAGTAAAATAAAGGTAAAGAGAGTGGTGAGAGAGTGCAAAAGGAGAGCAGATGATAGAGTGGGAGAGGCACTGTCAAGAAATTTTAATGAAAATAAGAAAAAATTTTGGAGTGAGTTAAACAAGTTAAGAAAGCCTAGGGAAAGTATGGATTTGTCAGTTAAAAACAGAGTAGGGGAGTTAGTAGATGGGGAGATGGAGGTATTGGGTAGATGGCGAGAATATTTTGAGGAACTTTTAAATGTTAAGGAAGAAAGAGAGGCAGTAATTTCATAAACCATACCCCCGGCCGGGATTGAACCCGTGGTCATAGAGTCTCAAAACTCCAGTCAGGGAGGTATACCATCTTTTAAGAGTGAAGAACAGCAGAATGTAAGTGTGGGGGAGGTACATGAGGCATTACGTAGAATGAAAGGGGGTAAAGCAGCTGGAACTGATGGGATCATGACAGAAATGTTAAAAGCAGGGGGGGATATAGTGTTGGAGTGGTTGGTACTTTTGTTTAATAAATGTATGAAAGAGGGGAAGGTACCTAGGGATTGGCAGAGAGCATGTATAGTCCCTTTATATAAAGGGAAAGGGGACAAAAGAGACAGTAAACTTATTCCTCTATAATTTTTACAGAGTATACCAGGAAAGTGTACGGTAGGATTATAATTGAAAGAATTAGAGTTAAGACAGAATGTAGGATTGCGGATGAGCAAGGAGGTTTCAGAGTGGGTAGGGGATGTGTAGATCAAGTGTTTACATTGAAGCATATATGTGAACAGTATTTAGATAAAGGTAGGGAAGTTTTTATTGCATTTATGGATTTAGAAAAGGCATATGATAGAGTGGATAGAGGAGCAATGTGGCAGATGTTGCAAGTATATGGAATAGGTGGTAAGTTTACTAAATGCTGTAAAGAGCTTTTATGAGGATAGTGAGGCTCAGGTTAGGGTGTGTAGAAGAGGGAGAATACTTCCCGGTAAAAGTAGGTCTTAGACAGGGATGTGTAATGTCACCATGGTTGTTTAATATATTTATAGATGGGGTTGTAAAAGAAATAAATGCTAGGGTGTTCGGGAGAGGGGTGGGATTAAATTATGGGAATCAAATTCAAATGGAATTGACACAGTTACTTTTTGCTGATGATACTGTGCTTATGGGAGATTCTAAAGAAAAATTACAAAGGTTAGTGGATGAGTTTGAGAATGTGTGTAAAGGTAGAAAGTTGAAAGTGAACATAGAAAAGAGTAAGGTGATGAGGGTATCAAATGATTTAGATAAAGAAAAATTGGATATCAAATTGGGGAGGAGGAGTATGGAAGAAGTGAATGTTTTCAGATACTTGGGAGTTGACGTGTCGGCGGATGGATTTATGAAGGATGAGGTTAATCATAGAATTGATGAGGGAAAAAAGGTGAGTGGTGCGTTGAGGTATATGTGGAGTCAAAAAATGTTATCTATGGAGGCAAAGAAGGGAATGTATGAAAGTATAGTAGTACCAACACTCTTATATGGAATGTGAAGCTTGGGTGGTAAATGCAGCAGCGAGGAGACGGTTGGAGGCAGTGGAGATGTCCTGTCTAAGGGCAATGTGTGGTGTAAATATTATGCAGAAAATTCGGAGTGTGGAAATTAGGAGAAGGTGTGGAGTTAATAAAAGCATTAGTCAGAGGGCAGAAGAGGGGTTGTTGAGGTGGTTTGGTCATTAGAGAGAATGGATCAAAGTAGAATGACATGGAAAGCATATAAATCTATAGGGGAAGGAAAGAGGGGTAGGGGTCGTCCTCGAAAGGGTTGGAAAGAGGGGGTAAAGGAGGTTTTGTGGGTGAGGGGCTTGGACTTCCAGCAAGCGTGCATGAGCGTGTTAGATAGGAGTGAATGGAGACGAATGATACTTGGGACCTGACGATCTGTTGGAGTGTGAGCAGGGTAATATTTAGTGAAGGGATTCAGGGAAACCGGTTATTTTCATATAGTCGGACTTGAGTCCTGGAAATGGGAAGTACAATGCCTGCACTTTAAAGGAGGGGTTTGGGATATTGGCAGTTTGGAGGGATATGTTGTGTATCTCTATACGTATATGCTTCTAAACTGTTGTATTCTGAGCACCTCTGCAAAAGCAGTGATAATGTGTGAGTGTGGTGAAAGTGTTGACTGATGATGAAAGTATTTTCTTTTTGGGGATTTTCTTTCTTTTTTTTTGGGTCACCCTGCCTCGGTGGGAGATGGCCGACTTGTTGAAAAAAAAAAAAAAAAAAATGTGTTTCTCACATTCTTTACCAAAGGGCTGGCACTAGAAGCTTTATTTGAAGCCATGGTAGCTTATTTAGTACTTGCAAGCACTAAAATCAATGGAATATTATGAAATATTTCGTAGGAGCATGTGAGGGGACCGTCACTCACTGGTAAACAATGGCACACTGGCTGGGAAGGAAAGGCCGAGGCGGCTCAGAGCGTGAGTACGCGTCCAGGACGAAGGACTATTAGCGAGTTACCGGACCATTTGCGAGCCAATATTTTGACAAAAAAACAGGACTATTTCCAAAATGGACGACTTTCAGGCCGGACGATTATTGAGGGACCACTGTAACCGGTTTCCCTGAATCCCTTCACAAAATATTACCCTCCTCACACTCCAACAGCTCGTCAGGCCCAAAATCCATTCGTCTCCATTTGCTCCTATCTAACACGCTCATGCACACTTGCTGGAAGTCCAAGGCCTTTCCCCACAAAACCTTTTTTACCCTATCCCTCCAACGTTTTTTGGGGACAACCTCTACCCCGCCTTCCCCAACAGATTTATATGCTCTCCAAGTCATTCTACTTAGTTCCATTCTCTGTAAATGACCAAACCACCTCTACTGCCTTTCTTCAGCCCTCTGACTAATACTTTTAGTAACTCCACACCTCCTAATTTCCACACTCTGAATTCTCTGCATAATATTTACACCACATATTGCCCTTAGACACGACATCTCCACAGCATCCAGCCGCCTCCTCACTGCAGCATTTACAACCCAAGCTTCACACCCACATAAGTGTTGGTACCACTATACTCTTGTACATTCCCTTTTTTGTCTCCATGGATAACATTCTTTATCTCTACAGATACCTCAACGCACCACTCACCTTTTTTTCCTTCATCAATTCTATGGTTTACCTCATCCTTCAAAAATCCATCTGCTGACAAGTCAACTCCTAAATATCTGAAAACATTCACTTCTTCCATACTCCTTCCCTCCAATGTGATATCCAGTTTTTCATTATCTATATTCTTTGATACCCTCATCACCTTACTCTTATCTATATTCAAATTCAACTTTCTACCTTTACACACCCTCCCAACTAGTCCACTAACTTTTTAAGTGATATAAATTAATGAGAAAATTAAAATAGTTAACAGCCAGGCTAAATTATCAATAGAAGGAAATTTCCACACGAGTTAAAATACTGGGAGACTTTGGACCACACCAGGACCCAAAGATGTGAGGGAGCAAATTACATCACCAGAATGCAGAACTTCTTCAGGTGCCATGTTAATCCTTTCACTGTCAAACTCCTAAACTGAAAGCCCTTTCTGTCATAGTATTTAAATAACTTTTTTTTTTTTTTTGCTTCTAAAATGGTAGAGCATCTTTTTCTAAAGATAATGGCACCAAAAATGAAAACTCTGACTTAGTCTGACTACTATGCAGATTTGACTTGCGTGTAACCTTGTATTGTCAGGTAACTTCTTATTTCAGTCATCACTTTAAGTGGGTCTGATGACACATCAAATGCTAGAAAACATTAACTAACCTGTATCCAACTTTGGCATCTTCATTGGCTAATCTTCTGAATTCTTCATACATCTTCCGGTTAAAGTGTTCTCGGAGGAAGAATGACCAGAAGCGATATAAGGTGTTCATCTCGGCACTCTGCCCAATGCCTAGTCTCTTGCGTTCTACAATTGATACAAAATTAACGTAACCACTACGAAGTATTGTATATTTATTAAAAAACCTTTTTCAGTTTATTGCATAAATACTGTCAAACAAGGCACCGTGTTTCTATATTTGTACATGAATTCCTTCACAAATATTAACTTGCTCACACTTCTACAGCACATTTTATAATAAGAAACCTTATTTCCACTCACTCTTGACCTTACACATACACATGATTACTGGATGCTCAAGGTCCTACCTCTCAAAACCTCCTCCATTCCTTGAGCATCTCCTATATATTTCGCTTATACAAGACATATATCTTGATCAACCTGCTTACTTTATCCTCTCTAAATGAAGAAACCATCTCAACAATCCCTCTTCTACTCCACCAACTTCTAATTTCTTCATTCCTTCTTTTTTCTACAATATTCACACCACACAGTGATCTCAAACATAATACCTCCAATGCCACCAGCTACTTCACAAATAACCCACACTTGAGAGAACCTTTGGATGATGTTGACTTGAAAATGGTCCAGGGCACACTGAAAAGTCACTCTAAAGTATGAATTATTTATGAATTGTTACGATCGTGATATTGTGACATTTATTCTTCACATTGAAAAAGAATCTTTTAATTGCTAGGGTTCATGCTAACACGTGTGAAGCATTCAAAACACAGGTGGCATGGTGCATGGAACACCGAGCAGGAAATCTAAACCTTACCTTTTAAACATCTTGCACGGTATTTATGGTAGACTTGTTGCGTGAAGCCGTTTTCCTTGAGAAGCGAATGTGATGGGTGTTGGAAAGTAGGTAACGAGCCTGGTAAAGACCCATAGGATCCATAACTGCTGCCAAAACTACTTGACAACTGGTTCTCATTTGGACTAGCATTCAAGTCACTGTGGACAAAAGTTTATAATATTCAATAAAGAAATTTAAAGATACCTGCACCTGCAAAATAATGTTGCTCTCTCTTGCACTAAAAAATATATATGCAGATTCTGAAAAATATTTCCAAGTAGTGCTTATTGTGGACAGCACTATATCACTAAGACAAGCTGAAAATATACTAGCTAAGTCAAATAATTTAATACAACATTTCTTACCCTATAGAATTTGTGCGTGGCTTGTGTTCTATGGAATCCATCACCCACCCAACATGACTCTCCACTGGGGGATTGTGGGAATGGCGAGTCTTCTTTTTGCGTGGTGTTCGCTGGTCTACATTTGCTTTATCTTTAACCACTGGGAAGAAACGTGCAGCTTTACGTGATCTTGGTGTTTTTGGTGTTGGTGATACTTTATCTTCGAAAGGATCCTCTGCACCCTGTCAAGGAAGAACAAAAACATTAAATATTTATGTTTGCAATTTGTCTGTAATTAGAGCATTTGTAACCCATATGGCAATTAAAGTTATTAAATTATATAAAAAAATCTAATTTAACAAAATCAATACACATAACTGTTTAATAATACTGTATAAGAAGGCAATGAAAAATTTTGTCTACCCTAAAAATGATATAACAGATGCAACAAATGATTCATATCAAACTAAAAATCTTCCAGATATGCAAAGTCTTGATTCTCTATTATTAACCCTTAAACGGTCCAAACAGATCGACATTCAAATTCGTAGTGCTACAAAAGTAGATCTACTTTTTTTTTACATATTTTCAAATATAACAAAAAAAAAAAATGTCGATAAAAGTTTTTTTTACACGTTTTCAAATGTAAAACAAAAAAGAAGATCTACATTTTTTTACATGCTTTCAGATGTTGAAAAAACGTATATATACGTTTGGACTATTTAAGGGTTAAATACACACACCATTAATGACGACTACACTCAAAGTTGTACAGTACACAAAAATAATGTCAATAGTTATATGGAGATAACATTTAAAATGGGCACAAAATTTAACCTCAAGAATAAGTCACTATACAGTATGTGTGGTTTTCTTTGAGAGTACATATCTTGTATTTACTTATTACGGATCAAGAGCATACATATCAAAAGCACTTATAAATTTTCATTTAAATGTTGACTTAATAATGATCAGGAATAAATGAAAACATTTTCTTAATATTAACCCCTTCTGTATAAATTACTAAATTTAAAAAGAGAAACTTTCGTTTTTCTTTTTGGACCACCCTGCCTCGGTGGGATATGGCTAGTTTGTTGAAGGAAGAAAGGTTTTCTTAATATTTCTCTCTAGATTTTGGATTAGTTGTCAACAATTTGCCCCTTTTGTCACATCATGTGTTCTCATTTTTTTTTTATTAACACATTGGCCGATTCCCACCAAGGCAGGGTGTCCCGAAAAAGAAAAACTTTCATCATCGTTCACTCCATCACTGTCTTGCCAGAGGGATACTTTACACTACAGTTATAAAACTGCAACATTAACCCCCCTCCTTCAGAGCGTAGACACTGTACTTCCCATTTCCAGGACTTTTTCTTTTCCTCCTCAATGAGATTCCCCAAAGTTGCAACTGTTCATAGAAATTTTCCTCGAAAATATTAGATACTGTAATGGAAAACTGTTATACTAAACTTATGTAATTTTATTATAACTGATTGGAAATTATTGGGCTTCTAAGTAATTAGACAGGGGACACAAAGATTGTCAGACACACATCTCATTTTAACAATATTATAGCATTATACCTCGTATGTGATGCTTGTGCCTCTGTTGCTAAATGTACAGCATTATATACACTACTGTACGTTCTCTAGCTTACTTAAAATAGGTCTTACTTTATATAAGCTATCAGGTTCATCCACGACTTCGTTGTTATCTATAGGATACAAGGATAAGGAATAGAAGCATGCAGTATTTAATATATACTCTACATTTAAGACAAATTATCTGGGTACTAACAGTACAGTTGTCCCCAAAAATTAGTGGGACTTGCATTGCTAGAGGCCCCACAAATCTAAAATTTGGTGAATAACGATATTTGTAAGAAAGAACATCCACAGTAGAGTGAGATTTTACTTTGAGAAAACTCCTATGGTTAGTTTTTAGTTCAGAGGCTTTGTACCAAGCCCTAAGAACAATGGGTACAACAATAAACCCACAGATCAAATATATTTGTGGCTTGCCCAATAGTAAGATCATAGGATAATGGAATGTCATATATATATGGAAGTCTACGAATTTATGGACACTACTTATTTGTGGTATAAAAAATGAATATTTCACACATGATAAACCCTTGAATAGAATGCATTTAAGCAGCAAAGTTTTGTGATAACATGGTTAAAAAATTGCACATAAATTTGCAGAGAACACCTTAAAACTTGAATAGTATGGTGGAAATTTAGAGGAAACTATGACACACCACAGGATCTCTCCCCTCCACCATGCAGCCAGCCTATGGGCACTGCCATTTTCTTTAGGGAAAGGCCTAATCCCATTCGCAATGTAAACTCTCATGCCATCAGTTCTTCAGGCATATGCATATGATTAGTACTTGTCCCTGGATAGTAACCATGGCACCCAAGAGAAATACAAGTAATGCTGGAGGTATCACGAAGAAAATAAGTGTGAAAGCCTTGATATTTTGACAAAAATTAGATATTAAATAAAATTTAAAGTGGTGCATCAGTGGTGGAGTCAGCATGAGTCTTTGGTGTCAATGTTGTAGATCTGGACAAGTGGTTTCAAAAAGGCTTTTGAGCCTCCTCTCAGTATTCAATGTGATATTTTATATCCTATTAAACTTTTGATGTACTGAGCTCCTTCAGAAGCTTCATTATTTTATCACTTATTTGAATATTTGTTAGAAGTTGTCTTACTCCTTTCTACTTCCAGTACTGGTTCTTGAGACACTATGGAATCATTTTTGCATACATCCCTCTTAATGTCTGAGTATTTCACCAACTTTCTTCAGCCTGATTACTTCATTCTTTATTAATAATCTCTTCCTCATGTGGCTGTGTAGTGTGTCTGGCTGCTATATCTAATTCCAACTGCTTTTCCACTTCCCTTCTGCTATGAGGTACTGTACTCAGCAATGATATTCAATGGTGCATTGTTGCTGTTACACTGCTACTTGGATCTTTTGTTGTTTGGTGGTGGTATGTGCATGACAGTCACAAACAACCTACAGCCTTCTGTGATTACCATTCTGGCTATGTCTCATTGATCTTCTTTGAGGTGATGTCCACTGCTTTAACTTACACTTGTGTTTTGGATGGTTTATAGTTAGATGCTAGGTGGGAGTGAGGGGGGAGGGAAGATAGATAGATAGTGAGAATGAGAGAGAGAGAGAGAGAGAGAGAGAGAGAGAGAGAGGAGGAGGAAAGTGAGAGAGTGAGAAAGTGAGAGAAAGTGAGTGAGTGAGAGAGTGAGTGTGAGAGTGAGAGAGTGAGTGAGAGTGAGGAGTGAGTGAGTGAGAGAGTGAGAGAGTGAGTGATGAGTGAGTGAGGAAGAGTGAAGAGTAAGTGAGTGAGAGAGTGAGTGAGAGTGAGTGAGAGAGAGTGATGAGAGAGAGTGAGTGAGTGAGAGAGGGAGAGAGTGAGTGAGAGTGAGTGAGAGAGTGAGAGAGTGAGTGGGGAGAGTGGAGTGAGAGTGAGAGAGTGAGTGAGAAGTGAGTGAGTGAAAAGTGAGAGAGTGAGTGAGTGAGAGAGTGAGAGAGTGAGTGTGAGAGTGAGAAAATGGGGGGTGAGTGAGAGTGAGTGAGAGTGAAGTGAAAGGGGAGTGAGGGTGGGAGAGTGGGAGAGTGAGAGAGTGAGTGAGAGAGAGAGAGTGAGTGAGAGTGAGGAGTGAGTGAGTGAGAGAGTGAGTGAGTGAGTGAGTGAGAGAGTGAAAGGGGGTGGGAGAGAGTGAGTGAGTGAGGAGAGTGAGTGAGTGAGAGAGGGAGGTGAGAGAGTGAGGGGAGGAGTGAGAGAGTGAGTGAGAGAGTGAGAGATGAGAGTGAGATGAGAGAGTGAGAGTGAGTGAAGTGAGGAGAGAGTGAAAGTGAGTGAGAGTGAGGAGAGTGAGTAGGAGAGAGGAGTGAGAGTGAAGTGAGAGAGTGAGAGTGAGTGGAGATGAGAGTGAGATGAGTGAGAGGTGTGAGAGAGTGAGTGAGAGAGTTTAGAGGAGTGAGAAGAGTGAGTGAGAGTGAGGAGTGAGTGAAGAGTGAGAGAGTGGAGAGAGTGGAGTGAGTGAGAGTGAGAGAGAGTGAGAGAGAGTGAGAGTGAGTGAGTGAGTGTGAGAAAGAGTGAGAGTGAGAGAGGAGTGAGAGTGAGAGTGAGTGAGAGTGAGTGAGTGAGAGTGAGTGAGAGTGAGAGAGTGAGTGAGAAGTGAGAGTGAGAAAGTGAGAGTGAGAGAGTGAGAAAGTGAGAGTGAGAGTGAGTGAGTGAGAGTGAGTGAGAGTGAGTGAGGTGTGAGAGTGAGGAGAGTGAGTGAGTGAGAGAGTGAGAGAGTGAGTGGAGGAGAGTGAGAGAGTGAGAGTGAGTAGAGAGTGAGAGAGTGGTGAGAGTGAGTGGGGTGAGAGTGAGTGAGAGTGAGATGAGTGAGTGAGAGTGAGAGAGTGAGGGGTGGTAGTGAGAGTGAGTGAGTGAAGAGTGAGTGAGAGAGTGAGAGAGTGAGTGAGAGAGTGAGTGAGAGTGAGAGAGTGAGTGAGAGAGGTGAGAGTGAGAGAGTGAGTGAGAGTGAGTGAGAGTGAGTGAGAGAGTGAGAGAGTGAGTGAGTGAGAGAGTGAGTGAGAGAGTGAGAAGTGAGAGTGGAGAGAGTGAAAAGAGGTGAGTATGAGTGAGAAGGAAAGTGAGTAGAGTGAGAGGAGTGAGGAGTGGAAGGTGGAGAGTGTAGTGGGAGGTAGGGAATGAACTGAGTGAGAGTGATGAGAGAGGAGGGTGGGAGTGAGAAGTGAGGAAAGTGAGAGAAGAGAGAAAGTGAGAGTGAGTGTGAGTGAGTGAGAGTGAGTGGGTGAGAGTAAATGAGAGAAGTAGTATGAGAGAGTGGAAGAAAGTGAGTGAGGCAGAGATGAGAGTTGGACCTGAGCAATGTGAGTAAGTGAGAATGAAGTAGAGAAAGAGAAATGAGAAAGTGAAGGTGAGAAAGAGAAAATTGAGAAATAGTATGAGTAGAGAGTTTTTTTAAGAGGATGTAGGTTTTAATTTTTAGTATGATAAGTAAAAGTGAGGAGCTGATGTAGGTAACAGCTCTAGCTTGCCAATAAAGTTAGAATCCTTAACCTGTAAATAGCTGTCAATAAAGCTAGGGATCCTTAACCTTGTCAAACCCTGTGTAAAAAAAAAAAAAGTGAGAGTGAGTGAGTGAGAGGAAGGTTTGGATAAAAAGAGGAGGGGGGGTACGGGAAATTAATTTGACAACATGGAGTAGAGGTAGAGAGAGGGGGGGGGGGAGGATAAAGAGGAAGTGGGAGAAAGGGAGAGGATAAGGAGAGAAAGGATGGTAGTGGGTTACTGGAATAATTTTTGAGATGACAGTAAGTTGGGTGAGAGTACAATAGAGCCCACTAAGCTAGGTATGAGTGAATCTGGCAAGCAGCAAGTTCAGAGGTGGGGCCAGAAGATAAGATTTGGACCCTGCAACCACATGTGAGTAAATAAGCAATCCAAGCTTAAAAAAAAAAAAACTGAAAAAGAATCATGGTGAGATACTAAAAAAAAAACTTAAAAAGTTAAATAAAGTTTTTTTTATAGGTTGTCAGGTTTTTATTTTTTTAGTATCTCCAACTATACATTAAAGAATATTGGTTAAATGTTTGTGGAAGAAAACAAACATGAAACTAAATAATACCAGAGAATGTTAATATTAGTGGGGAGAGAGCTGCAGGATATGGGAATATTAGAATGAACTTAGCTTCATCTTAATTTCAATGAAAAAATCCAAAAATCCTATAAATATTTGAAACCCCCCAAAGAAAGTAACAGTACTGTGAACCATTAGTGTTCTTTTTCACATACAAAAATTGAGATTTATGGCATTTTTATCTATAAAATGTAGTAGAGAGAATTTAAATATAAATGAAGACTATTTTCTTTGGTTCAAAGACTTACTTCAATGGAATAATTCCAATAACCAGCAGTCTGCTCATGTTTTTATTGGAAATATTTCTTTTTATAAGTATGTACTCAACCATCTGTTGCCTTAGTTTCTTTTGAGTTCTCTTCATCTTTTCTAGAATGACCACATGCTGAATCTCACTAGATATTTCACCTGCCATTATATCTTTATAACTGCTAAAGAAAAAAAAAAATTAAACATTTATTAGAAGATCCCACCCGCTGGTCTGGATATATTACAAGCAGAGATCACAAACTCGTCTGACAATCTTAACTGCAAAAGTATCATTTTAAAACATGTGATATCAAAGTAAGGATGATACAGTTCAGAGGGTCATCTGAATTGTAATATTAGAACACTTCTGCCGAGACTCAATGTGTTTAATCCCATCTATCCCAATTGCCTTACGTTCTTTCACTCTACCCAAAGAATAATGTGTTATCTTCTAAGGGTTACAGTGCCTTGGCAGGAGAGAGAGTTGTTGTCTGCCAAGGCAGGGTGGCCAAATAAAGAAAACACATTCACCATTATTTAATCAATCGTTGTCTTGCCGTAAGTATGTTGACATCACAACTGAGACTGTCCTCCAACTGCAACATCCCCATCCCTCCTTCAGAGTGCAGGCACTGTTTTTCCTATCTCCAGGACTCTTTAAGTTCAGCTAAAAGGATTCTTACCTGAGCACAGATTTGTCAGTATTATAAAGCATTTACTTAGGGAGAGTAAGCATGCAGAGTGTGGGTAGGTCTCCTTCAGTGCCCAGGTTTTAGAGGAGGAAGGCAAGACAAGCATGTTAGCATACCTGGAGGAGGTGTAGGGGAGGGGGAGGGGGAGGGACCTCTTGGTTAACTGGGACAGGTGGGTTGTTGGGTTGCAGGGTCTCCATCACCTCTTGACTTATCATCGTAACCTGCTGCGTCACGGCGGCTTTCTTCCTGTCCGTTGATTGTGGGAACTGCAGCAAAGAACACAATATAATTTTGCATAAATTTTTCAGATATTTTTGTTATTAAAAACCAGCATGAGAGTAATGAAGCTAGTTATTGTGGAAAAAATCTTAACAAGGTTTCTACTAATAATGGTAAACTTCACACAACACAGTAATGTAAACAAAGTTCCCTAAGGGGAAGTGGGTTAGAATTGTTCCTCTTAAGCCATGCATGTCCAAGAGGAATAAAATACTAGAAAAAGTTGAGTTAGAAAATAAAGTGTAAGAAGGAACAACAAATGCTGGATCAATCAGGTTGTGATGACTATGTAGCAACAGCTTAACTGACCAGGCAGTCAAGAATGAAGTCTGAACTTCAGATGGCAATCGAGAGCTGATGAACTCTCAAAACCAATAGTGCCTTTGGCTCACAAATGAAGGACCAGGGTTTAGTCCTAAGAGGAAAAAGATGTTAGGCAAGTCTCCTTACACCTGTTGCTCCTGTTCACATAGCAGTAAATAAATATCTGGATGTTAGCTGACTGTTGTAAGTGGTAATCAACCTAGATGGTGGTAGTTTACCTTAGATAAGGTTGAGTTTTGAAATAAGCTGAGGTAGGGTTATGTTAAGGCATGATGATACAAAAAGAAACGTCCTGCATCACCTTGGTACAGTGTTAAGTGAGAGCATGAACACAGTTATTAGTAAAACATATGTATTTGCCATCTGACTAAGCTTTCCACTACATTTTTTTGATAGCAAGAAAAAATTGATATAAAAGACTGACTTCGGGCTGACATAAATATACCATGCTAATAAATACTACAGTAGAACCTCAGTTTTCATATGCCCTAGTCTGTATGCAATACTATAGTTCTCAATAAAATGTATTTTTTGTTAATAATTTTGGGTATCTGGAATGGATTAATTAGATTTACATTATTTCTTATGGGAAATAGTAACAAAAAAAAAATACATTTTATAGAGAATAATTCAGTTTTACATACAGACTAGGGCATACGAAAACCAAGGTTCCACTGAACTTACCCATTCACTATCTTCCCACAAATCTTGCTCATAATAGTAAAGTCCATCATTAATAACTTTGGCCAATTCTTGTGTCATTTTAGTACGAGATGTCCATTCACCCGTCCGGTCAAATCCACCATGCTTGGGAGGTCTGGTAACAGAAGATGAACTACTCGATGATCCTGGAGCTCCAACAGATGTAGATGGTGGAGACTGTGTCACTATCAACAGTTTATTTACATCTTGGTCACTAATCTCATAGTCACTCTCATCATCTGACCTATAAGGGCAATGGCTGATTAAAATCCATTCCAACTTGTCAAAGATTATTTCAGAATATAATGTAGGCAAGATAAGAGTAATAATATTAACCTTCTTGGTCTATACTCTAGAAAAAATCATAAGTAGCAGTAAGTAATATATATATGAAGACACAATACCATGACTGGAACATTATTATTATTATTATTATCACACTGGCCGATTCCCACCAAGGCAGGGTGACCCAAAAAAGAAAAACTTTCACCGTCATTCACTCCATCACTGTCTTGCCAGAAGGGTGCTTTACACTACAGTTTTTAAACTGCAACATTAACGCCCCTCCTTCAGAGTGCAGGCACTGTACTTCCCATCTCCAGGACTCAAGTCCGGCCTGCCGGTTTCCCTGAACCCCTTCATAAATGTTACTTTGCTCACACTCCAACAGCACGTCAAGTATTAAAAACCATTTGTCTCCATTCACTCCTATCAAACACGCTCACGCATGCCTGCTGGAAGTCCAAGCCCCTCGCACACAAAACCTCCTTTACCCCCTCCCTCCAACCTTCCTAGGCCGACCCCTACCCCGCCTTCCCACTACAAACTGATACACTCTTGAAGTCACTCTGTTTCGCTCCATTCTCTCTACATGTCCGAACCACCTCAACAACCCTTCCTCAGCCCTCTGGACAACAGTTTTGGTAATCCCACACCTCCTCCTAACTTCCAAACTACGAATTCTCTGCATTATATTCACACCACACATTGCCCTCAGACATGACATCTCCACTGCCTCCAGCCTTCTCCTCGCTGCAACATTCATCACCCATGCTTCACACCCATATAAGAGCGTTGGTAAAACTATACTCTCATACATTCCCCTCTTTGCCTCCAAGGACAAAGTTCTTTGTCTCCACAGACTCCTAAGTGCACCACTCACCCTTTTCCCCTCATCAATTCTATGATTCACCTCATCTTTCATAGACCCATCCGCTGACACGTCCACTCCCAAATACCTGAATACATTCACCTCCTCCATACTCTCTCCCTCCAATCTGATATCCAATCTTTCATCACCTAATGTTTTTGTTATCCTCATTACCTTACTCTTTCCTGTATTCACTTTTAATTTTCTTCTTTTGCACACCCTACCAAATTCATCCACCAATCTCTGCAGCTTCTCTTCAGAATCTCCCAAGAGCACAGTGTCATCAGCAAAGAGCAACTGTGACAACTCCCACTTTATGTGTGATTCTTTATCTTTTAACTCCACGCCTCTTGCCAAGACCCTCGCATTTACTTCTCTTACAACCCCATCTATATATATATTAAACAACCACGGTGACATCACACATCCTTGTCTAAGGCCTACTTTTACTGGGAAATAATTTCCCTCTTTCCTACATACTCTAACTTGAGCCTCACTATCCTCGTAAAAACTCTTCACTGCTTTCAGTAACCTACCTCCTACACCATACACCTGCAACATCTGCCACATGCCCCCCTATCCACCCTGTCATACGCCTTTTCCAAATCCATAAATGCCACAAAGACCTCTTTAGCCTTATCTAAATACTGTTCACTTATATGTTTCACTGTAAACACCTGGTCCACACATCCCCTATCTTTCCTAAAGCCTCCTTGTTCATCTGCTATCCTATTCTCCGTCTTACTCTTAATTCTTTCAATAATAACTCTACCATACACTTTACCAGGTATACTCAACAGACTTATCCCCCTATAATTTTTGCACTCTCTTTTGTCCCCTTTGCCTTTATACAAAGGAACTATGCATGCTCTCTGCCAATCCCAAGGTACCTTACCCTCTTCCATACATTTATTATATAATTGCACCAACCACTCCAAAACTATATCCCCACCTGCTTTTAACATTTCTATCTTTATCCCATCAATCCCGGCTGCCTTACCCCCTTTCATTTTACCTACTGCCTCACGAACTTCCCCCCACACTCACAACTGGCTCTTCCTCACTCCTACAAGTTGTTATTCCTCCTTGCCCTATACACGAAATCACAGCTTCCCTATCTTCATCAACATTTAACAATTCCTCAAAATATTCCCTCCATCTTCCCAATACCTCTAACTCTCCTTAATACTCTCCTCTCCTATTTTTAACTGACAAATCCATTTGTTCTCTAGGTTTCCTTAACTTGTTGATCTCACTCCAAACCTTTTTCTTATTTTCAACAAAATTTGTTGATAACATCTCACCCACTCTCTCATTTGCTCTCTTTTTACATTGCTTCACCACTCTCTTAACCTCTTCTCTTTTTCTCCATATACTCTTCCCTCCTTGCATCACTTCTACTTTGTAAAAACTTCTCATATGCTAACTTTTTCTCCCTTATGAATCACTTCTACTTTGTAAAAACTTCTCATATGCTAACTTTTTCTCCCTTACTACTCTCTTTACATCATCATTTCACCAATCGCTCCTCTTCCCTCCCGCACCCACTTTCCTGTAACCACAAACTTCTGCTGAACACTCTAACACTACATTTTTAAACCTACTCCATACCTCTTTGACCCCATTGCCTATGCTCTCATTAGCCCATCTATCTTCCAATAGCTGTTTATATCTTACCCTAACTGCCTCCTCTTTTAGTTTATAAACCTTCACCTCTCTCTTCCCTGATGCTTCTATTCTCCTTGTATCCCATCTACCTTTTACTCTGTGTAGCTACAACTAGAAAGTGATCTGATATATCTGTGGCCCCTCTATAAACATGTACATCCTAAAGGGTCTACTCAACAGTCTTTTATCTACCAATACATAATCCAACAAACTACTGTCATTTTGCCCTACATCATATCTTGTATACTTATTTATCCTCTTTTTCTTAAAATATGTATTACCTATAACTGAACCCCTTTCTATACAAATTCAATCAAAGGGCTCCCATTATCATTTACACCTGGCACCCCAAACTTACCTACCACACCCTCTCTAAAAGTTTCTCCTACTTTAGCATTCAGGTCCCCTACCACAATTACTCTCTCACTTGGTTCAAAGGCTCCTATACATTCACTTAACATATCCCAAAATCTCTATCTCTCCTCTACATTCCTCTCTTCTCCAGGTGCATACACGCTTATTATGACCCACTTTTCGCATCCAACCTTTACTTTAATCCACATAATTCTTGAATTTACACATTCATATTCTCTTTTCTCCTTCCATAACTGATCCTTCAATATTATTGCTACCTCTTCCTTTGCTCTAACTCTCTCAGATACTCCAGATTTAATCCCATTTATTTCCCCCCACCGAAACTCCCTACCCCCTTCAGCTTTGTTTCGCTTAGGGCCAGGACATCCAACTTCTTTTCATTCATAACATCAGTAATCATCTGTTTCTTGTCATCTGCACTACATCCACGCACATTCAAGCATCCCATGTTTTATAAAGTTTTTTTTTCTTCTCTTTTTTAGTAAATGTCACTCAGGAGAAAGTGGTTACTAGCCAACTCTCCAGCATTTTAATCCCTTTATTTCCCCACATGCTGGTTAACGGCAACTCCTTTCACTTTCTTGCGCTAAGGGACAAATACCAATTTTTTTATAAACATCAGACGTTTTGTCTTGGTCATTAATGTCACATCGAATTAAGATAGTTTTATAAGTTTGGTCCAATCTTTGTCGTAATTGTCTTCTATAGGGTTACTACCATTCTCAACAGTTTGAGAGCGATAATCTACTTCAAGAATGTGGAGGAAAAAAAGATTCTTTTCCACTTCCCAGACAACCACAACTAACCTGTAAGACAGACTCATGAATTCGTTTTGTAATCTTTGATCATTAATTGTTTCCTGTGGCTCAGTTCTCTCCAACTTTGTTCAATGTTGCTAGCACGTAAGTTTCTCTTTCCATTATGGAATTTAGCAGTCATGAGATAATTAATCTTCAAACTGGTGACTAACAATTAATTTGTGCTTTCAGACTCAAACATCAAAATAAAATTAAGAAAGAAAAGCACCTGGACTAATTGAAATCATAAAATTTTATGATTAATGTTTTAATCTTCCACTCACCCTCTTTTGTTTCAACGCTACTAGCACATAGCTTCATTTATGAATCCTGCAACGTTACAAATCCAATGGTCACCAATTAATTTGTAATTATGTAAACTGATATAAAATTATGTTTGGTCAAAATGTAGGGAACCTTACAAATATTATAGAAAAAACTGGTCATGTAGCATGAAAGAACTCACGGATAAATCTGTTGTAAAAAACTAACGGGACTGTATTTTAAAACGCTGATTATAAATATCAATGATGTACTTACCATTCACTAAAATCATGCTGTCGCCCAGTCTTTGGCAACACCTCAAGCTCCTCATCAAACTGGAAATCAAGTTCTTCTCTGGTATCTTTGCTGAAGCCCTGAGATCCTCGAGACACGTCTCGACTTTTCTTATCAACATTCAACTTGCATGTTAAAGTGTCCTGTGGATGTTTCTGATCTTTCTCTTTGCTTTCATTGTCTCTTCTTAAACGCCCTTTACGTTTCACCTGAGATAAAACAGTGTCCATTTACTGCATGCTTCTTTCTATACACTATTTTTTCTGTAAATACAGTATTTTCCTAAATTAACGATTTCTTGAACTTCTTACCACACAGGCCCTTTTCTACCAAGGTAGGGTGATCCAAAGAAGTACACACTTTCACCATCATTCATTCAATAGATGTCTTGTCAGAAGTATACAGACATCATAATTCAAAGGACTCACTGAACCATAACATCCCCCCCTCGTCCATCCTTCAGAGTTAGGGTACTGTACTTACCACCTCCAGTACTAAGATCTGGCTAACTAGTTTCTGATACATTTCCTGTAACTGTAGCTAACTAGTATAGCCCAGAAATTAGGAGAAAAGAGGTCACTGGTCTTACTCTTATCTAATCCTGTCCCCCCCCCCCACCATTTTCCTTAACAAATTCTTAATGGAGGGGTGTCAATGTTGCAGTTTAAAAACTGTAGTGTAAAGCACCCTTCTGGCAAGACAGTGATGGAGTGAATGATGGTGAAAGTTTTTCTTTTTCGGGCCACCCTGCCTTGGTGGGAATCGGCCAGTGTGATATGCATAAACAATTGAATTATAAAATCCGCAAAACCAGTAGTATTTCACCCTCTTAAAAAATTTATCAATGTAAAACTAGAAAATAAGGAATGGCAATAAGTGTTTTTTTTTATCAATCTGAGTTCCCAAGAGTAAATGATAGGTAACCTAAAGGAAGAAAACCATTCATCATCATTCATTCAACAGCTCTTTTGTTGGACATGCACTCACAACAGATGCTTGCTGAATTTGTATCTCTAAATCCTGGCAAATAATCCTCAGCAGTATTTCACCTGCTCTCTACACTATGCATAGATACTGATGCAATGTAAGACCATAGATTCCATATGAAGGAGGACTGACACAATGTAAGTGTCCTGTTTAAAGAACTTCAAATTGATGTCCACAACTCAAAGTTGCACACAAGATGTTCATTATATGCACTGATGTGTATAAACTGTTAATTACAAACAGTTATATTTAATAAGGAACTTTGCAATCTACTTTGCATCTGTTGAATTGTGCCCAAGGAAGAAAACACACTCACCAACATTCACTCAATCACTATCTTTCCAAAAGTGTGCTGACGTCCCAGATTATCTTAATTATAATAATATTATGCAGAAAATTCGGAGTGTGGAAATTAGGAAAAGGTGTGGAGTTCATAAAAGTATTAGTCAGAGGGCAGAAGAGGGGTTGTTGAGGTGGTTTGGTCATTTAGAGAGAATGGATCAAAGTAGAATGACATGGAAAGCATATAAATCTATAGGGGAAGGAAGGCGGGGTAGGGGTCGTCCTCGAAAGGGTTGGAGAGAGGGGGTAAAGGAGGTTTTGTGGGCAAGGGGCTTGGACTTCCAGCAAGCGTGCATGAGCATGTTAGATAGGAGTGAATGGAGACGAATGGTACTTGGGACCTGACGATCTGTTGGAGTGTGAGCAGGGTAATATTTAGTGAAGGGATTCAGGGAAACCGGTTATTTTCATATAGTCGGACTTGAGTCCTGGAAATGGGAAGTACAATGCCTGCACTTTAAAGGAGGGGTTTGGGATATTGGCAGTTTGGAGGGATATGTTGTGTATCTTTATATGTGTATGCTTCTAAACTGTTGTATTCTGAGCACCTCTGCAAAAACAGTGATAATGTGCGAGTGTGGTGAAAGTGTTGAATGATGATGAAAGTATTTTCTTTTTGGGGATTTTCTTTCTTTTTTGGGTCACCCTGCCTCGGTGGGAGACGGCCGACTTGTTGAAAAAAAAAAAAAAAAATTATCTATAACACTAATTCTTAGTATAGTCATCCATACAAATTCATGGGAGAAAGGGGGAGGCAATGTTCCTAAAGGCCTTGCAAAAATGGACTACACTGCCTTTTTTTCTTCCAGATCTGGGTTAAGTATATGTTTCAGAGACAATATCTCTGTATTATATCATCACTCTAAAATTGGCATTCATACAAAATAAAAAGCAGAACAGAAAGATTTAGGCATGGGAAAGCCACTGAACCATAGCAATGTTTGGTAACTGAATCTTTCACTGTTTTTTCTTCACTAAAAATTATAGAGAATTGAAATACATGAATACCAAAGCCTGCAAATTTGTAGGAATTACTGTAGATGCAATATTTAAGTTATTAGTTTTATTAGTTTCATACCTGGTACCAAGTAAGCCTCTTTTTTTTTCCCAGAACAAACTGGCCGTCTCCCATCATGGCAGGGTGACACAAAAGAGTAATCACTTCCACCATCATTTCTTCAATAGTTATCTTGGCAGAAGCACACAGACATCATAAATAAAATGATCTTCCAAAATGCAACATTCCCACCCCTCCTTCAGAGTGTAGGCATTGTAATTCCTACCTCCAGGACTCAAGTTCGGCTAACAGGTTTCCCCGAATCCCTTCATAAATGTTACCTCTACTCATATTTGAAATCCTTGAGGTCTAAAATTCATGTTGAAGTAGGGAATATTTATTTTGTTTATTTAGAATTCTAGGTGGATACGGTGGCAGGAGCAACTAGAAAATTTAGACACAATGCAGAGCAAACCTCTTAACTTCAGACATTTCACTCAGGATAAAGCTCACTCCTCAGCAAAATTTTGTCTAAAATCAAGGTTTGCTTTTCATTATATCTTTAAACTATATGAATGTAGTGCACACACGCTCACACTGTATTCCAAGGTACAGCAATTTTTAAGTAATTTGATAAAAATATTGCTCAGATACTAACCAAAATTTAATGCAGATCCCCCCTCTGGTAAATTTTTAATACAAAAAATTCTCAGACTACCACCAGAGGCTACAAAGTTAGAAATTTATGCAGTATAGGCATATCAATTTTGAATTTATTCTTTTCAGTTTTTCTATTATCCAACAGGTCATGAAAACCAATACTGCAGGAAACTGGATGCATAAAAAAAAAAAAAAACTGGAAGAAATGTTGAAACAGCCACCAAAAGGGTTATAATTTCAAGGCTCGGCAGAAAACTCAACTTCACAACTATATTAATTGTTGATAATTATAGTCACACCAGAGAAGCATTCTCAGCAGATTAACAATGAAATGATGCAAAAATAATAAACAGGGTAAAACCCATATTGAATTACCCCAAATGGAACATCCTGGATATTTTATTTGGAGATATAGCATTGAAAGTACAGTACTTTATGCACAGTCTTGCATTTTACGACTGAATTCTTATAATGTCACTGATTTTGACGGATAATGACACAAAGGCTCACCTCCTTCCATTCATCATTCTTCTCACTGGAACTGCTTTTATCCTCTTGTCCTAAAATAAAATGATGTCATTAGCATGGAAAGAGGAGAATAAAATAAAATGCTTAAAACCAAAGTATTATGATCTATTCCTATGACACCTTGTCCCTTATCAGATATTCCCATCCTTAGTGTCTACCAATACACTGAAGATGCTGTACTTATAGATGAACACCAGAAACATTTACCGATGTTGTAAATGCTGGTTTAGCTATTATGGAAGTCAGAGTAAGACAAGACTGAGTGCGATGCTCAGAAAGCACATGCAGGTGAAAGAGTCCTCAAGAAATAGGGAGAGGCAGAATGATGCAAAATAAAAACAAGAAATGGTAAAACAATGTTTATTGAAAGAGCAGTATGTGATGAAAAATGAAAGGAATTATTAAATGTTACTGGGGTGAGTGTAGTCACAGAAAAGAATTACTCTTATGTTCATGGAAAGCACCAAACCTGTGGGGGTTACTCAGCACCACCAAGAAAAAATAATAAGGGATACCTTCTTTAAAAAAAAAAAATAAATTTGCATGGGTTGATTATCGCCCATTAACCCGGAAACGGTCCAAACGTATGTATACGTTTTTTCAACATTTGAAAGTATGTAAAAAAAGTAAGATCTTTTTTTTTTTTTTTACATTTGAAAATGTGTAAAAAAACTTTGATCTACTTTTTTTTTTGTTACATTTGAAAATATGTAAAAAAAAACCGTAGATCTACTTTTGTAGCACTACACATGTGAACGTAGATCTGCTTGGACCGTTTACAGGTTAAAAAAAGAAAATTGCATGGGTTGATTATCGCCCATTAATTTATTTCTTAGCTTCTTTTATTTTACATATTAACAAACGTTTGCTTTACAATGGATACAGGAAACAAACATTTAATAATTATTGTAATTATTCACACCAACCTGGATTTTTCCTGGCTTTTTTAGGAGTGGCATCGACAACTTGTGACTCTGATGGAATGAATTCTGGTTGAGCTGGGTCCAGCTCGGCATGATGCGGGGTGAACTCTGCCACTTCTGGGTTCATGCCAGCTGGTGGAGATGGGGCACTTGGTGGAGCATCTTCAACTGATGAATCTTGCACTGGGCTGGGTGTGGCAGGACAAGTGTTGACATTAGTTATGCCTGGAGAAACCTTCACTAATAGAGCTTGCAGAGCCCCAGCAGCAGCATCCTCTAAAGGCCATTTCGTTGGGTCATGTTTAGTCCGCAACTGTTGACAGATAAGATTATATTATTATGAAACTAGACAAGGTGAAAGTACCACTGGAGAGAGAAAAAATGAAGAGGTAAAATGAGCAGGAACAATGTTACAAGCCCCTGACTTTAAATTCTAGAAATCCACCAAGTTTAAAAAAAAAAAAAAAAAAAAAAAAAAAGACAGAGAGAATTGTCAAAAATTTAAGATTATACGAAAATGATGAGGAGCAGGTTAAACAAAAACCAACATGAATGCCATTGTTGAACTTTTTTCTCTCAAAATTTGTAAACTCCTCTTTCTGACACATTACTTCTAACATAAAAATCAAACGCATAATTCAAAATCAAGTAAAAAAATTATTTTTTTTTTTTTAATTAACACATCGTCCATTTCCCACCAAAGCAAAGTGACCCACAAAAGAAGAAACACTTTCATCATCGTTCACTCCATCATTGTCTTACCAGAGGTGTGCCTACACTACAGTTAGAAAACTGCAACATATCAACACTCCTCCTTCAGACTGCAGGCACTGTACACTGTACTTCCCACTTCCAGGACTCAAGTCCAACTAACCAGTTTCCCTGAATACCTTAATAAATGTTACTTTCTTACACTCTAACAGCACATCAAGTCATAACCATTCATCTCCACACACACACACACGCTTGCTGGAAGTCCAAGCCCCTCGCACACAAAACTTCCTTTAACCCCACCCTCAAACCCTTCCTAGACCAACCACTACCCCACCTTCCTTCCACTACAGATTTATATGCCTTCCAAGTCATTCTATATTGTTCCATCCTCTCTAAATGTCAGAACCACCTCAACAACCCTCCTCTGTCCTCTGGATAATACTTTTAGAAACCCTGCACCTCCTCCTAATTTCCAAACTACGGATTCTCTGTATTATATTCACACAACACATATTGCCCTCAGACACAACATCTTCACTGCTTCCAGTTGTCTTCATGTTGCAACATTCACCACCCATGCTTCACACCCATATGAGAGCGTTGGTACCACTATACTCTCATACATTCTCCTCTTTCCTTCCACAGACTCCTCAGTGCTCTATTCACCTTTTTCCCTTCATCTAAACTATGATTCACCTCATCTTTCATAGACTTATCTGCTGACATGTACACTTCTGAATAACTGAATACATCCAAATATGAAACAATACTGTATAAAATATGATTAGGATAATTCATGGTAAAACCCAAAATAACAAAAGTACTTGCCCAAACTTCATCTTTAACTTCAAGTTTTTCTGAGGTCTTGCAAACATCAACAATTAGCTTGACATCTTGTGTGAGCTGCTTCATACGATTAAACGAGGCAATGAGGGACACTGGAATATAGCCATCTTTGGACATCTTCCTTCTCATGAAGATGTCATTGGCCAAGTTGTCATCACTAAAATAGTACTCTCTGGAGGAAAAACAAGAGAGTACATAAAATGGTGTATAGTAAAATACTCGTCCCATACAGCACATTTTTTAACTCGTCAGATATTTCCCACTAAGATAGGGTTTCTCAAAGAAAAAGAAAAATTCCCTTCTTAATAACTGCATAAAGAAAAAATGGATTACCAACAGCCTAATGACTCCCAAAATCGTAATAACACGATGGTGGGAGAGTCATCAGTAAAAACTTGAATTTGTGGTCACAGTATAGCCAGTTGGCTGAGTGGCTTACACATTGGCCTGGGTTTAAACCACACCTGTTCTGTGGTTTGTTTACCAACACCTTGTAATCAGCAATATAGCCACCTATCACTTCATGCATGGCTTAAGAGGAAAGAATTCTAACCCACTTTCTTACTAAATTAGAAAGAAAACACCTCAGAAATATGAATACAGAATAAGAGGTGAAGTGCTCACTAAATTAAGTAGAAACTTTAAAAAGTTACCTGACAAGTAACAAGTAACATGGCCTATAGGGGTGCTCGGAGCAAGTGACCTCACTGCCAATGCTGTGATAAGTGTCAGGTTACACTGTCCCTGCAAGATGTTTCTCACTAACTGTGGCTATTCTGCCACTCTGCTCAGTATGGGAGTTACTGAGTGTGGGTGTTCATGTGGGAATAATGTTTCATCTTCTTTGTACAAGTAAGAAATCAAAGGACATGATTTTATTGAAATTCAAAGGAAAGTATCCAGATTAGTGCTTGAACAACTGGACCTAGGGGAAATCTATGAGAAAGAAATGGAATGAACTGAATAATGACACTGAAAAGGATTCTATACAGATGAAAGTTTTATTTTTTTTTAACACACTGGCTGTCTCCCACTGAGGCAGGGTGACCCGACAAAGAAACACTTTTGCCATTATTTACTCCATCACAGTCTTAGCATGCCCCTGGCATGCTGAGAGTGGCAAGATGGTGATGGAGTATGATGGCCATCTCCCACTGAGGAGATGGCCAGTGTTTTCAAAAATTATTTTTCAACACCCGCTGTCTTCCAACGAGGTAATGTGACCCAAAAATGAAGAAACACTTTCACTATCATTACTGGAGGGACCCGCATGTATAGAATCTTCTTTCTGGTGTTCCACGTTTTTGTTGACTTCAAACTGTCACCGGTGGGTGGAACAATAGCTCAACTGAAAGCCAACGAAAATGTGGAACATGAAAAGAGGTGCTGTATATGAGGGACCCTCTTTTATAAAAAAATGCTGGCCCCTATAGTCTGGATTAGTCATGGGAGGGAATCCAACTGAACCCAAGCTGCTCAATACCCCTTCCCCCTTCCCCTTTCAAAAGTAACCTAACATTTTAGGAAAGAAATGTATACTTACACTTGCTTCTTTATCTTATCTTTCACAGCAAGTTCGTCCTGGGGAACAAACTCTGGGAATATGAACCCCACAGATGGAACAAAGAACTGCATCAAATTTGGATCCTGCAGCACATAATCTGGAATCTATATAAAAACAGATTAAAACAGAAAACCTGAGTATCTTAGTAAGAGGGTTGTACTATATGCATAATGCTAATGTTATCTATTATGTTATTCAAATTAAGCAAGTCCTTAAAAGATACCTGGGATAATTACATTTACATTTCATGGAAGCTTGCTAATCAAGAATATGCAATAATATGTTATATATATTACCAAGTTGTTGTGCTCATATGAATATGACTGAAGATTTATTACATGTCCTCATCATGGAAATGAGCCATGTATTTTCCATTCAAAATGTCTTTGATTTCAAATAAAAGTATTACCAATGACTAGAAATATTAATATGCATCTTCCATTAACACAACTTGTATTCTTAATTAGTCCAATGAACAAATGTTAGTGAATATGAGCTGCATATCATCATCATCATCTCACCTCAGAATATTCAGAGAAGTTCTCGAAGTGCTCAGCAGAGGGACTTCTAAACCCTCCTCTCATGCCACCTTGCCCACCCCCTCCTATACCACTCCCTCGACCTCCTCTTCCTCTTCCTCTTCCTCTGAGGGAAATGCCACGAAAGCCACCCCGTCCTCTCAAGGCACTGTATGTCGACCGTGCATCTGCTCTCCAGTCAATCGAGTCAGATCCCCGCCCCTCGGGTCGTCTAAATCCCTTTTCTCTCTTCGGAGGTGGGATGTCTAATCTCTTCCAGTTCTGCTTTTTAACTGCAATAAAAATCACATTTTAAAAGACAGAAGACCAAAGTAAGGAAAAAGACATAAGATATAAAATCTTCATAACAGATGTGTATCAGAATGCTACTATGAGGTGTAAAAAATTATTCTGACATTCTAGACAAAATATTAAGTACAGATCAAGGATCTATATACAGCTTGGACATATATTAAGTATTGCAGCAGGTTAAGCATGTGTATCCATGCTTACCAAAAGCACCAGCATAAGCAACAAGTGCAGAAACTAAACCGAGAGGACATATGTCCTAGTGTTTGCTTCATGTATCTTTTTAAACCAATTTACCGATATCAATTACCATGGTTTATACCATAAATTGGTGTAAAACTGCAGTTAAAGAATCAGGGTTACATCCCTAGCACATGCAAACAGAGCTGCTTCATTCAGCAGTCTGGCTGAGAGGTAAATGACCATGCAAGTGGTGCAAACTGCGAGTGTCACAGAAATAATAACTGACATGGCCAGCGGCAGTTCCTCAACCCCCTCATTTTGCGTCAATAATCTTTTAATATACCAGTGATGTACTGTAATTAGCTATTTACAATTGCCTATTTGAGTTTACGCAGTTAAGCTCCAGCTTTTTTGACTTTCCCCTAAACTTTCCACTGACTGACATGAAACAGCCAAGTCATATCTAGTTCTGAGCACCTAACTGGAGTCAACTTCCATTGTGTCACTAATCAAGCCATTCAAGTTCTTTATCACTCAAGTGTTGATTATATTATATTTAGGGAGAAGCTCTGAACCTGTAGAAGAATGGGAGGCAATTTAGTTTTATCCAAGGAAAAGGAGAACAGACACAGTTCCTCAGAGAAATGTTTTCTATACCCTTGGCTCAGGAGAACAGACACAGTTCCTCAGAGAAATGTTTTCTATACCCTTGGCTCAGGAGAACAGACACAGTTCCTCAGAGAAATGTTTTCTATACCCTTGGCTCAGGAGAACAGACACAGTTCCTCAGAGAAATGTTTTCTATACCCTTGGCTCAGGAGAACAGACACAGTTCCTCAGAGAAATGTTTTCTATACCCTTGGCTCAGGAGAACAGACACAGTTCCTCAGAGAAATGTTTTCTATACCCTTGGCTCAATATGGTATGTAATTTCCATCATTGTCTCTCAGTCTGGGACCTGGTTACAGGAGCTGTAACTCCAAAAACCATCTCCTGGTAATCTCCAAATTGTTCCTGTTTAATCACTGGTAAACTATCTTTTCCTGTCTCCTTTTCCAGTGTGCCTGAGTATTTCGTATGCCATTATCATATCCCCTGTTTCTTTAAAGAAAGAACTCCAAACACTTGCATTCATTCTATATAGCTTACATCTGGTCCTTACATTTCAGTCTGCCCCTATTCACTCTACAGCAATTCCTCTAAGTATTGTATCTTTTAATGTCAGAATCTTGTCTTCCCTAGGTCAAGAAAGGGTCATGAAAATTAATTCCTGTACTTTTTCCTCATCCCTCAACTCTGGGACTAATCTGATTGCAAACTTTTGCACCCTTTCAATCTCTTAGATATGTTTGACTAGATGGGATCACCAGGCTGATGCTACCTATTCTAAGATGGCCTAACCTATATTATGTATAGAGCCCTAAAGATTCCTTACCACAGCTACTCAAAGGCTATTTTAAAATGTGAAAACAGTACAGTATACTGTGCAATGTATATACAAATGCTCCTTGCTTTACGATGGTTCAACTTTATAAACCATACCACGGGTGGGGTTTGAACCCACGGTCAGAAAGTCTCAAAACTCCAGACCGTCGCTGTAGCCACTATCCCAGTGGCTAACGCGACGGTCTGGAGTTTTGAGACTCTCTGACCATGGGTTCAAACCCTGCCTGTGGTATGGTTTGTTTGCAATAGTGTCACTACGATTTCATGAGTCATGTTCAACTTTATGATAGTTCAACTTTATAATTGTGCGACTTTACAATGGCGCGACTTTACGATGGTGCGACATCAGCCGAATGCTCTGAGAATTTGGGAAAGATTTTAATATCCTTAATTCTATCAGGATAAACTTGTGTTCATTTATTTACTTTTCAATACCGGTATCTGGTTAGTTACAGTAATTATTTGTTTATTTACTTATCCATGGCTTGATCACTAAAGCTCTCGTTTCACAGAGCAAGGGTCTGCGTTTGATTCCCAGTGCAGGTAGAAACATTGGGCGTGTTTCTTTACACCTGTTGTCTATGTTAACCCATCAGTAAAATGGGTACCTGGGTGTTAGTCGGCTGGTATGGGTCACATCCTCAGACAAGGACCTAATTTGCCTGAAATGCTCTGCATAACAAGGGGCTTTCTATATAGAAGTATGTCATTGATGTCAGCTAGGCCTGCATATCATGTACATGTACTTGTAGTAAATAAAGATATATTATTATTACTTACTTATTTATCATATCATATTCGACTTACGATGGATTCATCAGAGCATAACCCCATCGTAAGTCGAGGACCACTTGGTATACTGCATTGTGAGTACAGTATCTGAGAAGATAAATAATGCTTACTTTTATTCTTCTTATTTTTCGCTGCCTTTGAAGGTGCATTGTGTGTGTGCTGCTGTGTCTTGTTATTGATGGTCTGTGTGCTTGAAGCCTCACGATTCTCTTTGAGTGAGTCATCGTCATGAGAGCCAGAGTCCTCGCACTTCTCAATTTCTTTTAGCCCATCCTCCTTCTCACCCTCTTTTAATTTTCTCTCTTCGCTTTTTCTCCATTCCGACTTTGATGTCTAAAATGACAAAAGGATTGAAATAAATGAGTTTATGTACAGATAAACAAAACAAGAACATGTTTACAGATGATGCAAAGAATACACGATTTTTATGACTAAATCTTAAACAAAACAAATGGTGACGGATGATAAAATTTAAGTCTTACCTCTCTCTCTCTCTCTCTCTCCCCATGACCTTATTTGTGACCTCCCCTGAGCCTGACCTTTTCAAGACAGCTTATCCATTTTTTTTTTTTTGTATACCATACTTGATATAAAACTTGGATGAAATGTCACAGTAAAGGTTTTACTGCAAACATAACATCTTTCTCACTACTTGTCTACTTATGCCATTCTTTATTCACATGAATATATAGTAAATCTTAAAACATTAAGAGAATCATACAGAGGGGGTAACCGAGTTATTATTAAGAAAAAGTTGTTGATGAAAGTTCCTATAAATAAATTTGCAAGACACTTGTAAGTTTCACTGACAAAGTTTAAAACAGATACAAGGATGAGAAAATTCTAATAAAGGTGTTATCAGAGTACATTAGGTCAAAATTAGAATAGTGTATGTGGCGAAGGTAGTGTGTGCACGTTAACAAAACATGCAGATATGCTAGAAATAACCCATAGGCAAGCAACCTTATTACTCCTAAAGCTTAAAAAAATGAGTTATATAAAAAAGATGAAAACAAAAAAAGTCCCTGGTAGAGGGATAGAAGGAGTAAGAAGACATTAATTGCATATAAAGTCCTTAAAGAACACAAAACCCTAGATAAAGAAGACGTCTTAGCACCTTTGACTGGTGAAAATAAGAGGACACAGATCTGAACTGAAAAAATATTCAATAATGCTAAAAAAATTCCTTGTGGTATAACAATGAAATAATGTACAATAAAAAAAACTATTTTGTGCTACAACCACTGAAAATGTTACAAATTTATAGGGCAGATTAAACACTGAAGGTGGGAAACCTGGGGCACAGCATTCCTCCTGTAGCAAAAATTAGTTCTTCACAATGTAATTCATGTCTTTTTACATTTTTTTTTTTCAACAGGTTGGTCATCTCCCACCGAGGCAGGGTGACCCAAAAAGACAGAAAAACCCCAAAAAGAAAATTACTTTCATCATCATTCAACACATTCACCTCACTCATACATAATCAATGTCTTTGCAGAGGTGCTCAGATACGACAGTTTAGAAGTCCCTCCAAACTGCCAATATCCCAAACCCTCCTTTAAAGTGCAGGCATTGTACTTCCCATTTCCAGGACTCAAGTCCGACTATATGAAAATAACCGGTTTCCCTGAATCCTTTCACAAAACATTACCCTGCTCACACTCCAACAGCTCGTCAGGTCCCAAAAACCATTTGTTTCCATTCACTCCTATATAACACGCTCACACATGCTGGAAGTCCAAGCCCCTCACCCACAAACCCTCCTTTACCCACTCCCTCCAACCTTTTCAAGGACGACCCCTACCCCGCCTTCCTTTCCCTACAGATTTATACGCTTCCAAGTCATTCTACTTTGATCCATTCTCTCTAAATGACCAAACCACCTCAACCCCTCTTCAGCCCTCTGATTAATACTTTTAGTAACTACACACCTCCTCCTAATTTCAAAACTCTGAATTCTCTGCTTAATATTTACACCATACATTGCCCTTAGACAGGACATCACTGCCTCCAGCTGGCTCCTCACTGCAGCATTTACAACCCAAGCTTCACACCCATATAAGTGTGTTGGTCCCACTATACTTTCATACATTCCCTTCTTTGCCTCCATGGATAACGTTTTTTTTGTCTCCACAGATACCTCAATGCACCACTCACTTTTTTTCCCTCATAAATTCTATGGTTAACCTCATCCTTCATAAACCCGTCTGCTGACAAGTCAACTCCCAAATATCTAAAAACATTCACTTCTTCTATACTCCCTCTCTCCAATGTGATATCTATTTTTTCTTTATCTAGATCGTTTGATACCCTCATCACCTTAATCTTATCTATATTCACTTTCAACTTTCTACTTTTACACGCCCTCCCAAACTCGTCCACTAAACTTTGCAACTTTTCTTTAAAATCTCCCATAAGCACAGTATCATCAGCAAAAAGCAGCTGTGTCAACTCCCATTTTGTATTTGTTTCCTCATAATTTAATCCCACCCCTCTCCCCAACACCCTAGCATTTACTTCTTTTACAACCCCATCTATAAATATATTAAACCACCATGGTGACATTACACATCCCTGTCTAAGACCTACTTTTACCGGGAAGTAATCTCCCTCTCTCCTACACACCCTAACCTGAGCCTCACTATCCTCATAAAAACTCTTTACAGCATTTAATAACTTACTACCTATGCACTGCCTTTTCATAATTACAGAAATCCTGGTCAGGACCAGGTGAATGCATGCATCTGCACTGTCTGTTGACCAATTTGCACAGATTCATGATGAAGTGCTTGAGAATTTGACTTAGTAAATTCTATCCTTGGATCATTAAAATGATCTTGATTCATGATTGTGCTCCTTGGTACAATTCCTCTGTTGCTTGGTCACGTAGGTCCTGTAGCACTGCGGAGTGCTGATGTCACAGACTGTGTGCTCCTGGATCATGGTCTCATCATGCAGAAGCTCTGACAGCAGTCATGAACAGGTTATCGACTTGTAAACTGGAATACCTGAGGGAAACAATTGAATCTTGTAGTGGTGATCAGTGCTCCTGTTCACCCATTTGAATGACCTACTTGGGTGCACAGCATATCTAAACCTGCACTGCCTATATCTGAGTATGCTGTTCGGCTGACCCTAGCCTTCTTGGATTATTTTCACTCAGAAAATAAAGAATATTCATTTGGACTTGGTTCAATTCAAGCAAGTGCAGTTTTTTCTGTGACCGGTACCTTTTCTCAATTTTCTCAGTTTGCTTTAGTCAGTGAGGGGGTTCTGGGTTATATTAGAGGTTCTAGTAAGACATTGTGCACTTGATTCTATAAATGCTAGAAGGCCCTTGCCTCAGGAAGCCTTGCCTCGATTCAGAACACACATCAAACAACTGTCCTGTTTGAAATCTTATGTTCCTTTCTAAACTGAGTGAATGTGCTACTCTTGATCAATTGCTTCCTTTTCTGGAGCAGAGTAATGTTTCACTGTTATGTTCAGTTTGCATACAGACCACTTCATTCAACCAAGATTGCTGTATGCAAACTTTATAATGATCTGGTACTCTCAACACTTTTTTTTTGAAATGCATCATTGTTAGTTCTGTCAGACCTTTTTGCCGACTCCGACACTACAGTATTTACCATGGATTACTAAGAAGCGATCTTATCGGTTGTGGTCTTAGCAATACTGCTTTATCGCTTCTGAAATAATTTCTTTTTGATCAATCATACCAAGCACATCCCTTTCCTGGAGCTGACAATCCTGATGATTATACTGTCACTTACGAATATAAACTTTAGTATTCTTTTTTAATGAACTTGTCATATTTATGGTTTGATGTGCAAGCACTTGCAGATTTTCTGAATGAACATTTGCTGAAGAATTATGAAATCCCAATTATAATTATTATAATCAATATTATTATTAGTCTTTGAAACTACAAACTAATACTCTGCTTCCCGAATAAAGATCTTATAAACACTTTTTTCACAGGCTTATAAAATCCTTTCATTTTAATAAGCTTACTGATTTTTTTTTTTTCAACAAGTCGGTCGTCTCCCACCGAGGCAGGGTGACCCAAAAAAGAAAGAAAATCCCCAAAAAGAAAATACTTTCATCATCATTCAACACTTTCACCACACTCACACATTATCACTGCTTTTGCAGAGGTGCTCAGAATACAACAGTTTAGAAGCATATACGTATAAAGATACACAACATATCCCTCCAAACTGCCAATATCCCAAACCCCTCCTTTAAAGTGCAGGCATTTTACTTCCCATTTCCAGGACTCAAGTCCGACTATATGAAAATAACCGGTTTCCCTGAATCCCTTCACTAAATATTACCCTGCTCACACTCCAACAGATCGTCAGGTCCCAAGTATCATTCGTCTCCATTCACTCCTATCTAACACGCTCATGCACGCTTGCTGGAAATCCAAGCCCCTCGCCCACAAAACCTCCTTTACCCCCTTTTTCCAACCCTTTCGAGGACGACCCCAACCCCTCTTTCCTTCCCCTATAGATTTATATGCTCTCCATGTCATTCTACTTTGATCCATTTTCTCTAAATGACCAAACCACCTCAACAACCCCTCTTCTGCCCTCTGACTAATACTTTTATTAACTCCACAACTTCTAATTTCCACTCCGAATTTTCTGCATAATATTTACATCACACATTGCCCTTAGACAGGACATCTCCACTGCCTCCAACCGTCTCCTCGCTGCTGCATTTACCACCCAAGCTTCACATCCATATAAGAGTGTTGGTACTACTATACTTTCATACATTCCCTTCTTTGCCTCCATAGATAACGTTTTTTGACTCCACATATACCTCAACGCACCACTCACCTTTTTTCCTTCATCAATTCTATGATTAACCTCATGCAATATATACTATATTTTACTTTAATTATTGCTTACAACATTACACTATTCAAAAAAAACATTCTTGTATTATTATTTAGACAACCCAAAGCTGAGTGACAATTTTTAGCAACTCTAGGAGTGCTAATTTGGCCAGGATAAACAATTCAAGAATTTTCTGAACTCTGATGATTACAATGAAATGTGAAACTATAAATTTTAAACAGAAACTAATCAATGCAGTATGATATTATATAATTTTCCCCACATAAATGATGATATGAAAAAGGGAGGGAGGGATACAGGGAGGAGTGAAGAGATACCTTTGATATACCCGGCCATGGGCCAGGCTTGTCTGGTGCTTGCCTGGTCAACCAGGCTGTTGCTGCTGGAGGCACAAGATATACCACTGCCATATTACAGTACTATATTATGTACAATACTGGAGGATTACATTAATACTGTAAATTTCTAAATAAATTTATCAGGAAAGTGGAATCTCAGAAGATACGTGACCAAAACCTGTGACTCTGGGGCAAGAAGCAAATTATATACAGTACGTATATATTACTAAATATTACTAAATATTTAGTGAAGGGATTCAGGGAAACCGGTTATTTTCATATAGTCGGACTTGAGTCCTGGAAATGGGAAGTAAAATGCCTGCACTTTAAAGGAGGGGTTTGGGATATTGGCAGTTTGGAGGGATATGTTGTGTATCTTTATACGTATATGCTTCTAAACTGTTGTGTTCTGAGCACCTCTGCAAAAGCAGTGATAATGTGTGAGTGTGGTGAAAGTGTTGAATGATGATGAAAGTATTTTCTTTTTGGGGATTTTCTTTCTTTTTTGGGTCACCCTGCCTCGGTGGGAGACGGCCGACTTGTTGAAAAAAAAAAAAAAAAAACGTATATATATAAATTATCATTAGTTTGCTCACATTTTAACCATGATGATGCAGAAGATATGAAAACAGTGTGTGTTGACTGCTGGCTGGGAACAGTTAATTAAGTCCCACCATCTGTTTAAACCTGTCACTCCCACAGTGATAAACAATTTATATATAAATATCACCACCTGATATGAAAACCCTGTGTGACTGTATTGACTGTTAACATAGAAAAGTAACTTGATTTACTGCCATCTGTGATGACACATTACAGAAAACCTGTTTAAGTGGCATGTATGTTCCCCCATCTTCTAATAACATGTTCATTTTCCCCTATTATCTAGCTCAGACCTCTACAACACAATTGTCCTCAAAGATTTGTTAAGTTATACCACGAATTAAGGAAAGCTCCTGGACTTCACCTTACGAAACAGACAAAGCAAATGTGATAGTGATTATGGACAAGGTAGATTACAGGGGGAAAAATGAACATGTTATTAGAAGATGGGGGAACTTACGTGCCCCCTTAATGAACCTCAATTCAACAGCCTTTAGAAATACAGAACAAAATCCACTGGGTCAATTGATTCAGAATCAAAGGACAAAGTGCGTTGGTTAAAAAAGTGACTTTGTTACAATGACAGCAAAATAATCTCATCTCTATATGCCACAATCACCATTACCAGTCACCTGCTACCCCAATTTGTCACTTAAGTGGAGGTTTACTGTATGCCCCAAACTTATACAGCACCTGGTGTTGTGGTATAACCCAAGTATTGCAGTGAGAAAATACTTTTCTCACCCAGTCTTATGGTCAATAATACATATAGTAGTTAAAGATGTTAAGAATGTGTGGTTATTGCTATGGTCACACAAGACTGTACATTAAAAACAAAAATGCTGAGTACCATGACTGGAACAATACACAAATGACCTGCACATAGGAGAAAGAAGTTTATGACATTGTTTCAGTCTGACTTGGACCATTGACTAGTCACATGTGACTAGTCAATGGTCCAATGTCATCATATCCTTCTTTTTCCTATATACAGTGGACCCCCGGTTTACAATCACCTCCCAATGCGACCAATTATGTAAGTGTATTTATGTAGGTGCGTTTGTACGTGTATCTTTGGGGGTCTGAAGTGGACTAATCTAATTCACAATATTCCTTATGGGAACAAATTCGTTCAGTACTGGCACCTGAACATACTTCTGGAATGAAATAATATCATAAACCGGGGGTCCACTGTACAGGTCATCTGTGTATTGTACATTAAGATAAACACCGAGAGATACATGCAGTCTCAGGCTCCACAAAATACATTCTTACAGAATATATGAACATTCAACTAGAGCTAAACTACTAAACACTATGTACAGACAATAATCCTACACAGTGAACATTCTTGGATGCAAGAAAATCTATTTTTTAGTTAGTAGCATTCCATACTGCACTAAAGCAAGAAAAGACAAGACATATTTGGGCACTGAGATGATAAATAATAGAATTCAAAGAGGGAAATAAATAAAAGTAAAGTCTAGTGTATTGGGATGAATCACGAGCAACCATCATGTGTAGGAAATGTGGCAAAGTACATAAAGATATGCAACATGAAGGTATCAAGTAAACACAACAGGTCAGAAGAGTATGTTTAGAAAACACTGCCTAGAGGCTTTACCATGTGGCATTCCCTGAGAAAAATAGTCAGTTGAAGAACAATCAGTCAAAACTAACCACTCTAGAAGTTATTTAACTAAGATTCTGGGCACCTTAATAGCAGTGATCAATTTCTCAATTAACGGAATTTACATGCTTTGCATTAGCATTAGAAACGTTGTTGCTGTGTTTTCACTCAGAAAATGCCCTTCAAATGAACTACATTTTCCAAATTAAAACTCTTGATTACACTTTATTTTTAACTGAAGTTACCAGTACATCTTACAATTTAACTTTTACATCAATCTTTAACCCTTTCAGGGTCGAGAGGCCCTCTCGTAAACTTGTTCTCAGGGTCAAAAAATTTTCAGGGGAAAAAAAAAAAAAAATTTTTCTAATGAAATGATAAAGAATCTTTTCCCGATCATAATGCCACCAAAAGTATGAAATTTGATGGAAAACTTACGGAATTATGTTACTGTGAAGTTAGCGGTCTCGACGATGTTTATGCATTGGCGATTTCACCCACTTTGAGCCCTATTTTCGGTCAATTCCAGTGTACTAGTCGACAAAAATCATAACTATTTCGCTAGAACTCCATTTTTTCTATCGAATGAGTACAAGAAACTACCCATTTACCGATTTCAATTATCCAATAAAGTGGTCAGAAATCGGCAATTTTGCCAATTGCAAACAAATTTCAAAAGTTGCCAATTTCCAAATAGGGTCCAGAATAACAAGGCAGACATTCCTGGCACTAAAATAACATTTTCTCTGTTCATCAGTCATGTCCCCAGGCCCCTCTTACATCTCTTTTGCTTTCCACTTTGAATTTTTATTCTCACAAAAATTAGAAGATTTACTGTTTTATAGACTACTGCATTAGTGTAGAAATGGTATAAATAATATCAGTGCACTTGTGAAAGAATATTAGACTCACCAGTTGATGTGTATTGGACACATGGCATAATCTGTTTACTTTTGAACTTTGGCAAAAATCGAACATTTCTGCTACTTTGAGCTCAATTTCTATGTATTTTTCATTGTGAAACCAATCAAAATCATCACAATTTCTGTAGTATGTCTTCCATTCTATAAAATGAGACCAGAAAAACTAGAATACAACCATAAATACCATACAAAAATACAGTGCAAAGTCATTGTTTTAACCCTTAAACTGTCCAAACGTAGATCTGTTTTTTCAACATTTGAAAGTAGGTAAAAAAAGTAGATCTTTTTTTTTTTTTTTTTACATTTGAAAGCATGTAAAAAAAACATTGATCTACATTTTTTTTTATATTTGAAAATATGTAAAAAAACATAGATCTACTTTTGGAGCACTATGCACGTGAACGTAGATCTATATTTGGACAGTTTAACGGTTAAACCAAAAACATGGTCGGAGTTTTTTTTTTCTCATTATGCACTGTGTGCTGCAGGATTTTTTTTATACTGTGCACACTGACCACATAGACCCATTCTTTCATATATGGGCCTACAGCTTTCTCTCGCTAGATTTGAAGGCACTAGAATTTACGCATACTAGTACGTCAATAACCTGGTGTGTAAGCCATACTAGTACGTCGGAAACCCTGAAAGGGGTTAAATGTCTCTCAAATCAACACTAATTCTAACAATTATATAACCTACTTTCAGCAAACAAGAAAGAAACCTAATTGTAATTGAATTCCAGATTTTAGCAATATGAACTATTTGTAACATATAATAATCACTACTTCTAAATATTACTAAGCCAACTTGATGCAAATGAAGGCCAGCTCCTGCCATTACCAAACTTGTAACGAATGAAACTGTCTTCATACATTGGTCAAACTACTTGCAGCAAACACTGAAGATTATCTCTTCTGAAGATGGATGCAATATATGAACAAACTGTAAACCTGGTTGATTAGCAGAGCATCATCTTGGTTCATTCACGCACTGCAGCAAGGCTGTACAAGACTGCTCAAGACATCTGCTACTTACTCAAAAAGTAATATTCAAGAAGTGCAACACCTAATAATGCTACAGAACTACCACTACTACCATAATCTGATATGTACTTGATCTGAGGTACTGGAGTTAGCCTTCCTTTCCTCAAGACCAAAACCTCATTACCTCAAATTCCCCACGCATTGTATCACCACCTATGAGTTTACTGCTTCTCCTATGAGTTTATGCACTCTAACTCTACTAGTTAGAGTGCATAACTGTCATGCTTGCTGAATATACAAAAATATACTACAGTTGTGCACTATCTCATCAGTGAAAGCAGGACAGTCGACCCCCTCCCAAATACACAGGGTTCCTAATTAGTGGAATCTGATTACACCAATAAGTAATCCATAAAAATTAATTTAGTTAAAAATCTGCTCAGTGACTTTCACATGGAAAATTTTTTCTGCTGTTTGACCATTCCTTATATTATTAACCAAATTAAAGAGGTATGGTCTCCAAAACACAAAATAAATCTAAATCTGAAACAAAATTTGTGATGCAAACATAATTTAGCATTGTTCCTAGATTTTAGAATTGAGGGAAAGCTAGGGACATAACCTCAGTGAAATCTGGGGAAGGCCGACCGCACTACCTGTCCCTGTCTTACTGAGTGCCACTTGCTGCCCACCCTGACACTACTGTCACCATAGTCCCACCTACCTGCAATAAATGAATAGCTTCCTGTGCTTGCTGTACTTCAACCAGAGTTGGCCAGTCTGCTACATCATTGATGCCATTAGCCTGAAAAAATCACACTCAGCAATTTTTTTTATACAAATGCGTTCTGAAACCTAAAGAAAAACGAGACACAGGAGGACTGTGATGACACAATAAAAGAAAAGATAAAAAAAATTGAAGACAAAAACAGATGAAGACCAAGGCAAGGAGGAGCAATGCAATGTGACACTTGGATACAAAAACCTGCCAAAAAAGAAATGTTCAACATCAGGGGTCTAATATTAACTAAAAAAACAAAACGGTGCATAACTTCAGCACTATTAACTGTGCTTATTTGTTTTAGTGTAGGTGATGTTAATTGTGCTGTGTTTGACTGTAGGTATGATGATCTGCTAAGTGGAGTGGTAGTGTGAGTGCACCGATGAAAGAGTTACTTTGACAGTGTCATATGTTTTACTGTAGGTATGATCCATGATATGTTTCACCGCAGGTATGATCTGTGAAGTGGAACAGCAGTGAGTGCACTGATGAAATGAAGTTACTGCAAAGAGATAAAAAAAAAATAGTAAAACATAACATTTATAGCAGTGACTCAACCATTCAGAGTACTTTTCAGGCAGGTAAATGTTCTATCACGGCTAGTTCTCCAACTCTGAATAAACTGGCAGTCTTACACAAACATGGGAGCCTGACCAGCTTGCTGTACATATTTAAAGCATCTTTATCGGACAATTCTACTGCTACACAAAGGCAAAATAAAGAAATTATTGTCAACCACTGAAAAAAAAAAACGTATATATTTAATTCCATCACTGCTCTTCAGAAGGCTATTTTTATAGATATTATCCACTACAAATTCTTGGGCTTTTTATGTTGAGTTATTTCACTTAGTGTAAGTATTGCATCCCTGCTTTCTATTGTAGATATTCTGCACGGTTTGCCAGGCCTTCCAATCTTATAAGGGGTAATTTCAGTGTGCAAATTTTGTACAAGTCCCTCCAGCAACATCTGTGCAATTCTTGATATTTATATGCAATGACATTTTCCTGTATTCTCCAGATACACAAATTTGCCTGCCTTAACTGTAGCTGTCAGATACAGCAGTATTTCAGCTAGAGAGTACAAATGCCTTTAAGTGTATCACCATTGGTTCACTTTTGCTTTGAAGGTTCCTGTTATCCAGCCTATTATTTTCTTGCACTAGTGAATGTAACACTATCGTCTTCCTTGAATGTAAGATCTTTCAACACTGTTACCCCTCAAGTCCCTTATATTCCTCTCCTCTAAAACTTGTCCTTGTCGAACATACTGCTTTGCGTGTCTCACTAGAAAACTTTTATTTATTACATATACTCAGTGGGATGCGGCCGGTTTGTTGAAAAAAAAAAATAACTTGGAGGCTGGATATCCAATAAAAGGGGTTGTATCTTCATATTAAATATGAGTTAACTGCATGATCTGCTGATGCAAAACTTACTGTGTATAATTTTAAAATTTAATATACCATGCAAACCTCTCACAAGCTTCAATTTCATTTCTACAGAATTCACTGATCATAAATAATTTTGTTAGATAATACACCAATGGGTGAGGAGATTCCAGGTCACAAGGTCACTTGAATTGTGATGTTTATGCACTTCCAGCCAGACAGCTCTTGGATGACAGTGAATGTTTCCTTCTCTGAGTCACCATTCCTTGGTATAGAAATAGCTGATAAGATATTAAAAAAACAGATGACTGGATGATGTATAAAGGAGCTCTGGTTCCTCTTATGTACCTCCTATCACCATCATCATCACAAATTAGATTATTTTCCTTACTGTAATATGTATATCAATGACAGATTTAGTAAAAATCTGAAACAATCCTTGTTGGGGACCATTTTTAACACAATATGAATTGTATAAATATGGAATACCTGTAATCTCTTTATTAGGAAAACCTTAAATAAGTCACTGAAGTTTGCTAAAGCAACTAAGTACAGTATATTATCTAACACCACAGAGATTTGTATTCACCTAGATGTCTAAGCAAGGTTAGACTGATTACTCTTAGTCCTGCCTCTTAACCTGTATTGACCAGTTTCACTGATTTCTGTCCCCTCCAGGCTTACTATATTTCTTCATTAAAGAATAATTTCAAAATAATAAATATATGACCTCTTTACTCTATTTATCACAAGAGTAAGCATGAACCTCAGCTGGATATGGTATCAAGCGAATAAATATTGACACTTTCTGGCATTTATGCCTATGAAATTGGAATGTTGCTCTACACCGAAGTTTATTTTATTTTATTATCACACTGGCCGATTCCCACCAAGGCAGGGTGGCCCGAAAAAGAAAAACTTTCACCATCATTCACTCCATCACTGTCTTGCCGGAAGGGTGCTTTACACTACAGTTTTTAAACTGCAACATTAACACCCCTCCTTCAGAGTGCAGGCACTGTACTTCCCATCTCCAGGACTCAAGTCCGGCCTGCCGGTTTCCCTGAACCCCTTCATAAATGTTACTTTGCTCACACTCCAACAACACGTCAAGTATTAAAAACCATTTGTCTCCATTCACTCCTATCAAACACGCTCACGCATGCCTGCTGGAAGTCCAAGCCCCTCGCACACAAAACCTCCTTTACCCCCTCCCTCCAACCTTTCCTAGGCCGACCCCTACCCCGCCTTCCTTCCACTACAGACTGATACACTCTTGAAGTCACTCTGTTTCGCTCCATTCTCTCTACATGTGCGAACCACCTCAACAACCCTTCCTCAGCCCTCTGGACAACAGTTTTGGTAATCCCGCACCTCCTCCTAACTTCCAAACTACGAATTCTCTGCATTATATTCACACCACACATTGCCCTCAGACATGACATCTCCACTTCCTCCAGCCTTCTCCTCGCTGCAACATTCATCACCCATGCTTCACACCCATATAAGAGCGTTGGTAAAACTATACTCTCATACATTCCCCTCTTTGCCTCCAAGGACAAAGTTCTTTGTCTCCACAGACTCCTAAGTGCAGCACTCACCCTTTTCCCCTCATCAATTCTATGATTCACCTCATCTTTCATAGACCCATCCGCTGACACGTCCACTCCCAAGTATCTGAATACATTCACCTCCTCCATACTCTCTCCTTCCAATCTGATATCCAATCTTTCATCACCTAATCTTTTTGTTATCCTCATAACCTTACTCTTTCCTGTATTCACTTTCAATTTTCTTCTTTTGCACACCCTACCAAATTCATCCACCAATCTCTGCAACTTCTCTTCAGAATCTCCCTAGAGCACAGTGTCATCAGCAAAGAGCAACTGTGACAACTCCCACTTTATGTGTGATTCTTTATCTTTTAACTCCACGCCTCTTGCTAAGACCCTCGCATTTACTTCTCTTACAACCCCATCTATAAATATATTAAACAACCATGGTGACATCACACATCCTTGTCTAAGGCCTACTTTTACTGAGAAATAATTTCCCTCTTTCCTACATACTCTAACTTGAGCCTCACTATCCTCGTAAAAACTCTTCACTGCTTTCAGTAACCTACCTCCTACACCATACACCTGCAACATCTGCCACATTGCCCCCCTATCCACCCTGTCATACACCTTTTCCAAATCCATGTCACAAAGACCTCTTTAGCCTTATCTAAATACTGTTCACCTATATGTTTCACTGTAAACACCTGGTCCACACACCCCTACCTTTCCTAAAGCCTCCTTGTTCATCTGCTATCCTATTCTCCGTCTTACTCTTAATTCTTTCAATAATAACTCTGCCATACACTTTGCCAGGTATACTCAACAGACTTATCCCCCTATAATTTTTTCACTCTCTTTTGTCCCCTTTGCCTTTATACAAAGGAACTATGCATGCTCTCTGCCAATCCCTAGGTACCTTACCCTCTTCCATACATTTATTAAATAATTGCACCAACCACTCCAAAACTATATCCCCACCTGCTTTTAACATTTCTATCTTTATCCCATCAATCCCGGCTGCCTTACCCCCTTTCATTCTACCTACTGCCTCACGAACTTCCCCCACACTCACAACTGGCTCTTCCTCACTCCTACAAGATGTTATTCCTCCTTGCCCTATACACGAAATCACAGCTTCCCTATCTTCATCAACATTTAACAATTTCTCAAAATATTCCCTCCATCTTCCCAATACCTCTAACTCTCCTCTCCTATTTTTAACTGATAAATCCATTTGTTCTCTAGGCTTCCTTAACTTGTTAATCTCACTCCAAAACTTTTTATTTTCAACAAAATTTGTTGATAACATCTCACCCACTCTCTCATTTGCTCTCTTTTTACATTGCTTCACCACTCGAAGTAACAACCCTAATTACACTGTTGAAGAATATATACGAGAATTAGGTATGATTCTTTATAGGAGGAAAACGTTGGTGGGACTGCTTTCAACTTTCCATGCTGAATTCACCCCATAAAAGTAGATGGAATATAGACCGTACAATACCCCCAATGAGAATTAGAGGTGCAATAAATTTGACAACACAAAACTCAATAATCATAAAGGGCCCAAGGCTTTTCTAAACTCTCCCTTTAAAGGGGTGAATATGAGGCTCGAACCATGTTCCATAAATTGACAGTCTGAATCTCTACCATTTCGACTACCCAGGCCTCTAACAGGAAGGAATCGGAACTGATATTACTATATTATATTTTGTGTAAGTTCTGACTCCTTCCTAATAGAAGCCTGGATAGTTGAGACGAAAGAGCATCTGACTGTCAATTTACAGACTGTGGTTTGAGCCCCTCATCCACCCTTCTGTTTATTCACTGACTTGTTTATTACAACTTAATTTGAACCCACAGGGATAATTAATAAGAAACAGCTCTTTTCAAGAAGGAACTTGACAACTTTGCAAACAATTCCTCATTAGCCATATTGTGGTGCCTATGACATGGACCAAACAACAACACCCTGACTGATCAGGCTGTCAACCAAAATGCACAATGGTTCACAGAACTATCAACAGGAGAACAATGGCAAGGAATTATAAGCTGGATGTCCTAGTGCTTACCATTGCAATTTCTTCACATCAATGCATTCAACTGAACATCTGGATAATACAATTGATAGAATTCAGCTTTTTTTTTCCTTCGAATTTTGTCATTACACAAAGTGAAATGCTCCAAGTCATGAAGATGTTTTTCAGTGATAGACTGAAGTGTGTATATACAATACAGTGCTGCTGCACTATGTACTATACAGTAGAATATAGTATACTACTATTGTTAATATATTCTTGGGGAAATGCTAACTTGTAAGGATATGACAGCCCATAAACACTACAATAAAACCCAAATTCACTGATTTATATATTTGCCTTTGTTAAGTTACTAGTTATTATGAGAAGAATGCCTAAAAACAATTTCTTCAAGCATCCATTTTTGTTCTTTGTCGGTTATAGTGTCACTAAAAACTAAGTGTTCACCTATGAAACACACATGCACGGATTTGTTAATAGCCTTCAAGTGTGTTATTCCAACCATTAGTGATGACTCAAGTGGTTGAGCATATATTTAACAAGAGGGGCCCATTTTACCATGATGTTATGCTTATTTCTTGCCACTTGTCCAGGTGCTGGTGACAAAAATGCTAGATGCAAAAATGTTCACAGTAATTCCCACTGACCTTTAAATTTGCCTTGTTTCTGTCAGTGGTGGTGACACGAATGAGGTTGGGTTGTTGAAGTGCCTCTGCTGGGGTGGGGTCACTGGCGACTATGCTGATATCTATAGAGTTAATAGGCATGGGTTCAACTGGAGGAGTGGTAGGTTGACACAGTACAGCTGGGGTGTCTTCTGTCACCACTGCAGCAACTACAACCGTGGCTGCCACAACCGGTACACTCACTACTGTGGGTTCTGCTACAACTGCTGCTGGTGTTGCTGGTGCTGAGATTGTCACTATTGGTGTTCTTGACTCCCTCACACACTTAGCTACTTCTGAAAAAAATAACAGTACTGTAAATAACATGTAACATTAATATAAACATACAGTATGTATCTACATGTGTTATATTTATGATATTATATGTCAATGAATAAAAAAAATAGCTGGGGACTGAAAGGAAGGTCCATGTGTGTAGCAGATCCAGCACTGTACCACACTGGTGGCTCAGTGGTACAACACAGGTGGCACAGTGGTACAACACTGGTGGCACAGTGGTACAACACTGGTGGCACAGTGGTACAACACTGGTGGCACAGTGGTACAACACTGGTGGCACAGTGGTACAACACTGGTGGCACAGTGGTACAACACTGGTGGCACAGTGGTACAACACTGGTGGCACAGTGGTACAACACTGGTGGCACAGTGGTACAACACTGGTGGCTCAGTGGTACAACACTGGTGGCACAGTGGTACAACACTGGTGGCACAGTGGTACAACACTGGTGGCACAGTGGTACAACACTGGTGGCACAGTGGTACAACACTGGTGGCACAGTGGTACAACACTGGTGGCTCAGTGGTACAACACTGGTGGCACAGTGGTACAACACTGGTGGCACAGTGGTACAACACTGGTGGCACAGTGGTACAACACAGGTGGCACAGTGGTACAACACTGGTGGCACAGTGGTACAACACTGGTGGCACAGTGGTACAACACTGGTGGCACAGTGGTACAACACTGGTGGCACAGTGGTACAACACTGGTGGCACAGTGGTACAACACTGGTGGCACAGTGGTACAACACAGGTGGCTCAGTGGTACAACACTGGTGGCACAGTGGTACAACACAGGTGGCACAGTGGTACAACACTGGTGGTACAACACTGGTGGCACAGTGGTACAACACTGGTGGCACAGTGGTACAACACTGGTGGCACAGTGGTACAACACTGGTGGCTCAGTGGTACAACACTGGTGGCACAGTGGTACAACACAGGTGGCACAGTGGTACAACACTGGTGGCACAGTGGTACAACACTGGTGGCACAGTGGTACAACACTGGTGGCACAGTGGTACAACACTGGTGGCACAGTGGTACAACACTGGTGGCACAGTGGTACAACACTGGTGGCACAGTGGTACAACACTGGTGGCACAGTGGTACAACACTGGTGGCACAGTGGTACAACACTGGTGGCTCAGTGGTACAACACTGGTGGCACAGTGGTACAACACTGGTGGCACAGTGGTACAACACTGGTGGCTCAGTGGTACAACACTGGTGGCACAGTGGTACAACACTGGTGGCACAGTGGTACAACACTGGTGGCACAGTGGTACAACACTGGTGGCACAGTGGTACAACACTGGTGGCACAGTGGTACAACACTGGTGGCACAGTGGTACAACACTGGTGGCACAGTGGTACAACACTGGTGGCACAGTGGTACAACACTGGTGGCACAGTGGTACAACACTGGTGGCACAGTGGTACAACACTGGTGGCTCAGTGGTACAACACTGGTGGCACAGTGGTACAACACTGGTGGCACAGTGGTACAACACTGGTGGCACAGTGGGTACAACACTGGTGGCACAGTGGTACAACACTGGTGGCACAGTGGTACAACACTGGTGGCACAGTGGTACAACACAGGTGGCACAGTGGTACAACACAGGTGGCACAACACTGGTGGCACAGTGGTACAACACTGGTGGCACAGTGGTACAACACTGGTGGCTCAGTGGTACAACACTGGGCCTGCATTTCACACACTTTAAAACTAATTACTGATCCCATGTATCACAGGCAAGTGTACACAAACTACATTCTACGTGTACACAAATTTATAGTTGCAAAATGTGTATAAACTGCATTTTCAAGCATACATAGCATGAGTCATTTCAACTGGGATGTCTGTGTGTACTTCTGCAAAGACAGCTATTGAATGAGTGTCATCTTTCTTGGTGGGAGATAACACTTAAAACACGAGAGAGATATTCGATCTTAGAGCAAATTCATGAAGCAGAAAAGCAATAAACTTCACAATACAAGTAATTCAGTCAGAAACACATACAAAAACAGTATGTGGCTCAATGTGCTTGTTGTGTGACCCCCACATACATGCAATGACAACAAGAAAAGCGACATAACACCACAAATACACAATGAATATTACCATAAGATTAATAAGGAGTCATTCAAGGCTAAATGAACAAATAAAAGCCACATGGTGCCACAACAGTCACATGACTTGACAAATTCACTGGACCTCATAACAAATAAGCCACATGGTGCCACAACAAATAGCAACATGACCTTTAACAAAATCGCTTGACCCCATGACAAAGCCACATGACCCCAAAAAAAAAGTCACATGACCGACAATAAAATTATGTGATGGATCAACAAGTATCAACAGTGTGGTGGAACAAGTATCAACAGTGTAATGGAACAATAAGAGGAAACTGTGGTGGAATAAGTAGCAACTACAGTGTAACAGAACAAGTAGCAACTACAGTGTAGCAGAACAAGTAGCAACAACAGTGTAGCAGAACAAGTAGCAACTACAGTGTAGCAGAACAAGTAGCAACTACAGTGTAGCAGAACAAGTAGCAACTACAATGTAGCAGAACAAGTAGCAACAACAGTGTAGCAGAACAAGTAGCAACAACAGTGTAGCAGAACAAGTAGCAACAACAGTGTAGCAGAACAAGTAGCAACAACAGTGTAGCAGAACAAGTAGCAACAACAGTGTAGCTGAAATAACCATACAATAGAGCAAAAAAGTAATGTGAAGGACCTGGGAGTGATAATTTCAGAGGATTTCGCCTTCAGAGACCACAACAATGTATCTACCTCATCTGCTAGAAAAATGATAGGATGGGTAATGAGAACCTTCAAAACTAGGGATGCCAAGCCCATGATGATCCTTCAAATCGCTTTTTCTCTCTAGGCTGGAATACTGTTGTACACTAACGGCCCCCTTCAAGGCTGGAGACATTGCAGATCTGGAGAGTGTACAAAGAACTTTCACGGCACACATAAGTACGATAAGGCACCTAAATTACTGGGAACAGTTGCAGGTCCTTGACCTGTACTCCCTGGAATGCAGGCGAGAGAGATACATGATAATATACACTTGGAAGGTCCTGGAGGGATTGGTACCAAACCTGCACACGAAAATCACTCCATATGAAAACAAAAGATTCGGCAAGAGATGCAACATTCCCCGATGAAAAGCAGGGGCGCCACAAGTACACTGAGACAACACAATTAGTGACAGGGGGCCAAGACTGTTCAGCTGCCTCCCAGCATACATAAGGGGGGTTACCAATAGACCCCTGTCTTCAAGAAGGCACTGGACAGGCACCTAAAGTCAGTAACTGACCTACCGGGCTGTGGTTCGTATGTCAGTTTGTGTGGCCAGCAGTAACAGCCTGGTTAATCAGACCCTGATCCACCATGAGGCCTGGTCTCAGACCGAGCCACAGGGGCTTTGACCCCCAAAACCCTCTGCAGGTAAACAATGTAGTAGAACAAGTAGCAACAACAGTGTAGTAGAACAAGTAGCAACAACAGTGTAGTAGAACAAGTAGCAACAAGTGTAGTAGAACAAGTAGCAACAATGTAGTGTAAGCAGCAGTAACAATGTAGTGTAAGCAGCAATAACAATGTAGTGTAAGCAGCAGTAACAATGTAGTGTAAGCAGCAGAAAACAATGTAGTGTAAGCAGCAGTAACAATGTAGTGTAAGCAGCAGTAACAATGTAGTGTAAGCAGCAGTAACAATGTAGTGTAAGCAGCAGTAACAATGTAGTGTAAGCAGCAATAACAATGTAGTGTAAGCAGCAGTAACAATGTAGTGTAAGCAGCAGTAACAATGTAGTGTAAGCAGCAGTAACAATGTAAGAACAAGTAGTAACAATGTAGTGTAAGCAACAGTAACAATGTAGTGTAAGCAGCAGTTACAATGTAGTGTAAGCAGCAGTAACAATGTAGTGTAAGCAGCAGTAACAATGGAAGAACAAGCAGTAACAATGTAGTGTAAGCAGCAGTAACAATGTAGTGTAAGCAGCAGTAACAATGTAGTGTAAGCAGCAGTAACAATGTAGTGTAAGCAGCAGTAACAATGTAGTGTAAGCAGCAGTAAAAAAGTAGTGTAAGCAGCAGTAACAATGTAGTGTAAGCAGCAGTAACAATGTAGTGTAAGCAGCAGTAACAATGTAAGAACAAGTAGTAACAATGTAGTGTAAGCAGCAGTAACAATGTAGTGTAAGCAGCAGTAACAATGTAGTGTAAGCAGCAGTAACAATGGAAGAACAAGCAGTAACAATGTAGTGTAAGCAGCAGTAACAATGTAGTGTAAGCAGCAGTAACAATGGAAGAACAAGTAGCAACAATGTAGTGTAAGCAGCAGTAACAATGTAGTGTAAGCAGCAGTAACAATGTAGTGTAAGCAGCAGTAACAATGTAGTGTAAGCAGCAGTAACAATGTAGTGTAAGCAGCAGTAACAATGTAGTGTAAGCAGCAGTAACAATGGAAGAACAAGCAGTAACAATATAGTGTAAGCAGCAGTAACAATGTAGTGTAAGCAGCAGTAACAATGGAAGAAACAATTTAGCAACAATGTAGTGTAAGCAGCAGTAACAATGTAGTGTAAGCAGCAGTAACAATGGAAGAACAAGTAGTAACAATGTAGTGTAAGCAGCAGTAACAATGGAAGAACAAGTAGTAACAATGTAGTGTAAGCAGCAGTAACAATGTAGTGTAAGCAGCAGTAACAATGTAGTGTAAGCAGCAGTAACAATGTAGTGTAAGCAGCAGTAACAATGTAGTGTAAGCAGCAGTAACAATGTAGTGTAAGCAGCAGTAACAATGTAGTGTAAGCAGCAGTAACAATGGAAGAACAAGCAGTAACAATATAGTGTAAGCAGCAGTAACAATGTAGTGTAAGCAGCAGTAACAATGGAAGAACAAGTAGCAACAATGTAGTGTAAGCAGCAGTAACAATGTAGTGTAAGCAGCAGTAACAATGTAGTGT